TCACGATATCCTGTTGATGATATTGTCTATGATAATCAAAAGGATGAATGTGAAGAACTGTTCACATTATTAGTTAACCAAATTATTGAAGAAAAATAGACTTAGTTGATGAACAACGAAGAGATCAACGAATCATAAAATAATTGAACAATTAGAAAACTTTCTCATTTAGATCCCAAGAAAGAAAATTAATTTCTAGTATAGAATTCGAGAGAATCTATTATACCGATTAACAATTAACCATTATGGAGAGAGTTGGAATATAGTTATTCCTAAAAGATTAATTAACAAATTTTGCATGAATATCATGATTCGATCTTGTCCGGTCACCCAGGATCTTTTCCACTTACAATAAAATTAAACAACATTATTGGTGGCCACATGAGTAGAGATGTAACAAATTACGTTCGAAGTTGTCTAATCTGTCAATTAGATAAAAGAGGAAGTGGAACCTTAGAAGCTCCATTAAAATCAATAATTAATAATGCATTCGAGAAAATTGGAATCGATTTAATTGGTCCCTTCCAACATCTAAGAAAAATAATTATATTATAGTATGTACCGATTACTTTACACGATGGGTAGAGGTTGCAGCAATCAAAATATGACCGCTGAATCAACAGCGACTTTCCTAATTAACTCGATCTTCCTCAGACATGGTTGCCCCAGAACAATTGTCTCAGATCAAGGTAGAAATTTTATATCTTCAGTGGTTGATCAAATTAGAGTTTTCCAAAGTAAATGGTCATTTTCAACCGCCTATCATCCAGCAACAAATGGCTTAACAGAAAGGTCAATCAAACATTATGTTCAATGTTAACTCATTATTGTAAAAGAAAATACTCAAAGTGGAGTGAATTAATCCGGTGCTGGGATTCGCTTATAACTGAGAATCAATCTACGAAAGCCTCTCCTTCTATTTACTATATGTCGTCAACCAACCTTACCCATTGATATTATAATTAACAACCAGACATTTAAACAATTACCATCTAACTTAAAATCAACAATCGAAAATGGCCTGAGATTTATGATCAACAAAACTTTACTCATTGAACTCAAAGAAAATCAAAAATTCAACATGATCGGAAGAAATTACGAACCTATCAAGTAGGAGATGAAGTAATGTACAAGCAATTTCAGGGACCAAAGAAACTGAAACAAAATTCAAAGGACCATATAAAGTAATAGAAAACAAGGAGACACCACTTATAAAATATTAAGAACAGATAAAAGGAAAATGAGACGAGCATAGTAACCAACTCAAGCCGTACTTTCATAGAAATTTAATCAATTTAGTAACAATTTTAAGCATACTCACACGAGTAGATGCTAGAAATTTCTCCTTTCATTAGTGGTGAACCTATTCTATGGAGAAAAACTGATCACCCAAGAAAATCAGCTCAACAGGTCTCTGTTATACTAGCATTTTCAAACCCATGTAAAGAAACAATCGTTCTAAAACAGACAAGGAAAGAAATGAATCCATTACATGTGAGTATAATCCAGCCATGTAAATTAGTAAGGAGATTTCTAGACAAATTTGAAGACCATTGTTCATCATTTATTGATGAAAATTACATAAATCCTATTCGTAATATACCGAACGTAACAACCCAACCAGAAGAAAATATTATAAAAATAAGACGAGAAATAATCACTCTGGGAACTGTAGCCTCCACAATAATAGTTGGTGGAATAGTAATTAGTGGCGTTAACTATTTATATAAACACATTTTCCCTCCCGAAATAGAAATACAACCAGTACTAACAGCCATCGCAGAGTCTAACCAAGAATATAAGAAGCTGATAAAAAAACAGTTTGAACAATTACATAATGTAAGCCAACAACTGTTTTATATTCAATTCGATGTGAATCAACTGCCTCAATATTTACCGATATTAACATTTCAAGCCGCCGATACAGTAACTCAAGCAAATAACCAACTTAACCAATTAAAACATTTTAATGAAACCATTAGAGAAGCTAAACCAAGGATTGATAAGAATTTCTTTAAATTCTTCAAAATTATTTTACCATGCTCACCAGAATGTTCATTAGATGAAATTGAAAATGTTAATGTAATACAATAACGAAAGATTTCCAACATTAATGATAAATTTTACAACATTTTTACGAGATACCACTAACCAAATATTTCAAGCAGATGCATTTACATTATATAATAAAAATAATACACACACTTGTAAAGTTACATATAAAGGTCCAGAATATGTATTAGTCAACATCACTGATTATCGATTCTGTGAGATTAGCGAGAAGGATTTGAAAGGTCATAATCCTATTTTTAAGAAAGTATCGAATTGTAAAGAAAACTTGAAGAAAATTGAACTTTGGAAGAATGAAGTTTGTTTCAGCATAGCCTAATGTTACCACATACGCAGAAACGATTCAAGTTAAAAGAGAGTATATTTAATACATTGTGCAGGACACCAATTACTTTATATAGTAATATTAAATATATTTGTCCAAATAATGTGATAAGATTATCAAAATATACCAATTTTACTATCGATGACCTAGAATATACAGTTCAAAGTTTTCACAGTCAAGGTTCACCGGTATCAGAATACACATGCAATCAATTTACGATTAACTCAACCATCGGCTAAAGAATTACAAATTGAACCACTTGATTTCACATTAATCGATGAAGCTCAAGAGAAATTGAAACAAGTATCAATCATCTTAAAATCAATTGGAAAATGAATGTCCCAATGGATTTGGATACTTATTAGTATTACCATCAGCTTCTGTTGTGTTATTGGTTGTAGATTAACCTTATCCAAAAGATCAATCAACTCTGTGATAGTTGCTAGAAAATAAGGAAAATAAGGACGTTATTATACCTTACATCAGTGTTATTAATACAATTAAAATCAATGCTCCGGTTGGGGCAGGTTTTCGAATTTCTCCGGTGATGGAGATAAAATTAATTAAATAATGATAAATTCAATTCACCTGGTGATGGAATAGAATAAATTAACCAAAATCATCTTTTCACCCGGTGATTGGGTTTTGAAGTTCTAATGATAAAGTTTAATTAACCTGGTGATTGGGTATTAAAATTCAAATTTATGATAAAATTTCAATCAGCCCGGTGATGGGTAATTTAATACTTATTATTCAAAACCTGGTGATTTGGGGTAGATGAATAATTGAAATTTTCTTCTTTCTTTTCTTTATTTTACAATTAGGATGGAAGACGACTGGAATGCAACAAATGCCCTCCAGATCCAAAGCTAATCGCTTTCCAAAGAAAATGGAAAATTTACAACTAAAAACGGTCCAGGTTTCTTCATTTCATCAAAACAAAAAGAAAACTAATCAAGATTATAACAATCATTTTAAACCAGTTTCACCAAGTTCAGTATTTAGAAAATGTTATCTGATTTTGTCTATCTTCGCCTCTAAATACACTAATTACTATGGTCATGTTTGGAGACCAGAGTTAGTATCACCAGATTATGATATATGTGGCACCCCAAAAGAGATGAACAAATTCACGAAGTTAACAGTCACAGCAAACCACCCGGACAAATTACAAACTGCTCACCAAAACTTATTATATTACACTAGAAACTAAATTACCAGAACAGTAGAAACTCAACAAAATCAATCTTATCGATTTACCAGAAAACATTGTTCCTATGCTTCCGCTTTAACCACACTAAGATAAATTGTGAATACTGCTCATACTGTAGTGAACCTGGTCATTTCAGAAAAATTGTCCTGAATTACCTTTTAAAACTGATCAACAAGTAAATATAAATACCGTACAATCTAGACCAACAAAATATTCCTATGCACGAGAACAACGACGAGTTAGAAGAAAATAAGGAAGCATATGGAGGTAAACCTTTTGGAAAACCTAAATAATCCAATACCTGAACATTTGAAAAATATGTTCCAATTGGCCTGAAAATAATAAAAAGAAACATTATCCCTTGACATCGAAGGTGATGGAAATAATGTAGGAAGCGTACATTTATCAGGATGGTTTGGCAATGTAATTAGAATACAAACAGTATATTATGCTCAGGTAAAAACACTACAATATCAAACCCAAATACTGAATCACTGGACTACAAATCAATGATTTAGCAACAGGATTAAGCCTGGACGAGATATGCCAATACAGAATTAGCCATCGAAGAAGATTATTAACACAAGGGAAAGACGATTTGAATAAACTCGAGTTAACGACATCTAAACTAAAAGCATCGTTCATCCAACACGTTGACTTACAAGATCTTTGGCCTGGACAACAACCAATAGGATTAGTTTCATTAGATAAATTTTTATTCTTTAATCATCAAAAATTACGTAGAGATGATGATAAACATGTAACCATTGGACATTCTCCTGAGAGGGATTCTCGAGTCACTCTTAAAGCATACATCGAATTACAAAAGATGAAAGATAAAAACATTCCTGTCCCCACAGCTGAAGTCGTTCGAGATATGGTAAAAATGGGACAAAATATTCATCACTGGCTCCAATTGCATTCAAATAATCCGATTGAAATAATAACTTTAGACTGACATGTCCATTGACTATTAATTATTACTAACTTTAATTCTATGTTTCAATATCGTTTATATTTTTTTATATACTTTGTAAATAATGTCCGGTGATGGATAATATTATATATTAATTAATTTCCTAATAATTGTAAATCAACGGGGACGTTGATACTTTTCTATGTACCCCCGAAGAACTGTAACCAAACTGGTTACACCACCAGTTTCTTTGTTCAACCAGGTACCACCTCTCACGTGGTACCTGGTTGATCTGATTGGATAAAATTTTAGGAGGATGAAGAAGGTGATGGAGACAATTTTCTCCCTCACCGCCAATATAATGGCCAAACAAACGGCCATTTTATCATGGAATCGGGGTTGTAGTTACCCAAATTATATTTTATATAATTTTGTTATTAAAAGTTTCTTTTCCTTGTTACCAATTGTGACAACAGCAATCAATTTCTAAGGTAACAATTAATTGTTAATTGAATTCATTGAATCGATGATGGAAATTAACATTTTCCAAATCAATTAATGTTCTCATCATTGGTTCTCTCGAATTTCTTTTTCCCCGTAGACCAAAATTTCTTGTCCGAATTTGTCCTTAAACAAAATATTCTTATGATTGATTATCCATGTTATCGTTATATTATTATCTACGAAATTCGATAAAAGTTCATATTCGATGTTCTTTTCTTCAGGGCATCGTGAGTTCTTATCGAGATCTCTTGTTCTTGAATTTCTTTTTCTCTCTCTCTCTTCTAATTTGAATACATGATGAACATGATAATAAATAGAAAAAGTCACCAAGAAGATGATAAACTTTTCCATTTCAGTTTCGTAACGATTTTCATGACGATTTTCTTGTTCTCATATCCAATGAACTTTCATAATTTATGAATTCTCATAAACTTCAATCACGCAATCACAGTTAATTGTGTAGATGTTTCTCTTAATTAACATGTTACACTTGCCATTTAATTGTTCCAATAATTGTAGTAGTTATTGTTTCTTATGATTAAGGGGAAATTTTCACTGATAATCATAATTAACTAACCACGAAATCTTTACCTTTTTTTAATTTTCTAGTAAAATCCACAAATAAAAGTCAATTAACTTGATAACTAAATAACAACAACAACAACAACAATTCACAATTAATTGTTCACTAATTAACCTCATGCAAATGTAAACAATAAATACAATATATTTACAAGGTTGAATTAATCAGATTCTCATCATCATAATGATAATGATAATCATCATATGATTTAAATTGTAATTGACTGACCAAAACAATCAATTGTCAATCTTTGATTGTGTAAATCAAACAAGAGAGAGAGAGAGAAAATCAATACGTTACAAAGTATAGCTAAATTATCAACAATTAAAATCTCTTCTTCTTTTAATATTTGAAAGGTAAATAAATTTGGACAATTTAACAATCAAGAATAATTTAAACTCTACCATCTTAATTGTTGCCCCATTGGAATAAAGTTTTTCCAATTGTTTCGTCAGAGGAAAAAAAATTGATCATAGATTGTTAATCAATCCAAATCAAACCAACGGCCCAAAATTAATAGGCAAAAAAACCCAAAGATAATTAATCAACTTACCTAATCTATCAAGTTGATTAACTGAAACAGGATTAAGAGGCTTTAACCTTTAATCTTACCTTTAGGTCATCAAGATTTGACCAAAGGAAGAAAAGGTTTTTCCGTTTTTTCTTCTCATCAAATTGATTTTATCAGTTGAGGTAAATTGTTGTCCATTTAATTTACTCTCTCACTCACTCTCTCTCTTTCTCTCTCTCTCTCTCTCTCTCTCTCAAATAAATGCACAAGGACAAATCACAAGGACGTCAAACCGAACCACAAGTAGAGAAGTTGATCGATTTAACTTTTGGATTGGACGAAAAGATGGAGCCACAATCGGGAAAGAGAAAAAGAGAACAATTGAAATTCGAATTGACTTGAGTCTTTCTTTTTTCTCTTTCTCCAAGTGTCGCCATCTCTCCCTGAAAGAAAGCAAATTTTTCTGTGAATCGAAATTTTCTCCTCTCAACTTGATATTTACTCTTTGAAAGGAGGAGGAGAAAAAAGTAAAAGTAAAAAAAAAAGAAAAAGGTAAATGATGAAAAAAAAGGGGGAGTGAAACGTGTTACCTGTTCATCTACATTAGTAATCATCCATTAACCAGCGTCCGCCTTAATTACAAACAATTTATTTTGATTTAAAGTATAAAAGGTGATCCTGATTAGAAACTGGTCTTTATTTTTCACTTTTAATTCAGTGGAGTTTAAATGTTTAATTTTCGGATAATCAACTAAATCATCATCATTTTCCCATCGACACCAAACAAACACAAAAAAGCTCACATATGAGTAACATAGTTTCTTACATTATTGATAAATACAATGACGTTATGTCAGCGGCGGATCCTCGGGTCGCTAAATGGCCTCTCATGGATTCACCTTTACCAACCATCACAATTTGCCTTTCATATGTTTATTTTGTCAAAATTTTGGGACCCAAATTAATGGAGAACAGGAAACCATTTGAAGTGAGAAAGCCGATGATTATTTACAACTTTTTGATGGTCATTTGTAGCGCGATTCTTGTTTTCAATGGATTAAGATACCAATGGTTAAATGGAGCATCTTTAAAATGTGAGCCTGTTGATTACTCGACAAACTATGTGCCAATGATGACTGCCTACAATTCATATTTTTACTTTTTAACTAAATTCATTGAGTTTATGGACACCATTTTCTTTGTAATTCGCAAGAAAAATTCACAAATTTCCACTCTTCATGTAATCCATCATGGTATCATGCCTTTCAGTGTTTGGTGGGGAGTCAAGTTTGTCCCAGGTAAGAATTTAATCCACTGAATCAGTTATTTCTTCCTACCTGTTGAGAAAATCATTACAATTTGATTCCTTGTTCCTTAATCAGATTAGATTCTTATCCTGATGGTTGGTTAATTGTCTTCGGTGAAAATGTAGATGAGAATCTGAAATTTGTCACTAAGTTTTTTTTTTCTGTTCACAATCAATTGGTTTATTAATTATTCTCTAATTGTTGTGATAGCTTTTTTTTTCGAGGACTTGATTTTGTAATTGATTAAGCTCGTGAGATTAGACTGATTAATTTCCTTTCCTTGCTTATTAGTTAATGAAGAAAAAAAACAGTTAACTAATCAACCATGATTAATTTTCTGTAACATTTAATTTCACTTCTCACTAATCAGCTGATTTATCTGATTAACTTGAAATTTAGTTTTAAATTTTAACAAATTACCCAATAATTAGTAACTTTCCCTCATAACCACCAAGACAATTAAGATATTATTTAATTGTCTTTGATTAAAGTTAATTGATCCAAATTATTAGTGATGATTAAGGTGAGAGATTAGAAAAAAGGATCTGATTAAGAGTTAATTTGGAGAAAAAAAATCGTCAACAATTAGGTTGAAATAAAGAGAAATTCAAGTCAATTGTAAATCGATTACTAATCAATTGTTTTTCTTCAGGGGGACATGCGACTTTCTTTGGATTCTTGAACAGCATCGTCCACATGGTCATGTATACTTACTATGGATTAGCGGCTCTCGGTCCTCATATGAACAGATTCTTATGGTGGAAAAAGTATTTAACCGCCTTCCAAATGATTCAGTTCGTCATGATCGGAGTTCATTCCTTCCAGTTATTGTTCCGTGAATGTAATTTCCCAAAGATTTTCGTTCTATGGATTGGATCACATGGTGTTCTTTTCTGGTTCCTTTTCTCTGATTTCTACAAGAAAACCTACTCACAGAAACAAAGGATAAAAAAGGATGACGATGCTCAATGTAAAAAACAAGAAAAGAAACTTTTCTTCTCATGTAATCAGACAGAAACTCTGTTGGATTACATGAAATACGAGCCTACCCTGAGTGGTTAATCCCTTTGATCCTAATCCTCTTCCCTTTCCCCTTAACTAGCTCACTTTGAACAATCTCCTTTTTTTTTAAAAAAAAAATCTCTCTCTCTCAAATCTAAATCTATTGAGTGTATAGCTAATCAACCAAAAGTTGACCCTCTTGACCGTTACTCAGAAAAATCTTGAAGAAAAAAATTCTTTCCTAAAAATCATCGCTCAATCACCATGAAACTTTGGAACTGACTTGATCATTGGCTTGTTTCATACACTTTTGTTTCTCATCTTTTTTTTAAAAGAAAAATCATCCCAAGGTTGATCATCAAGATAATCCTCTTAATCCTTATCCTCTCTCTCTCTCTCTCTTAATCCTTTTGTAAATTTTTTTATACAATATTTTACAACATTGTAATTGTGCTGAATAAGTTGAACATCCAAGAATCATTTACATGGAAGCAAAAAACACCACGAACCTGAAGCCATTGATACACAATCCACACCATGAACACACAAGCATCTTAATATTTTATTATCATCTTATTATTATTAATATACTTTGCGAGAAATCAATTGATCGCAAATCAATTTTCACAAATAAATTGTCCACAAAAAATTTATACAAATTTTTTTTAAAACCAAAACAAAACTACGATTCCAATTGATTTGATTATCATGTTGATTAGTAAATCGTGTGTGTGTGTGTGTTAATCAATGCTACCTGTCATCGATTGTGATGATGTAGCTTGATTGTTGTTGATTACTGTTTGATGTATTAGTTGAATGGTTTGAACAAAAAAAAATCAAGGTAATACTGGACCAGGAAAGGTTAGTTAATTTATTGTAATTGTAATTGTTATCATCGGACTCTTACAATCAACATTGTTAATCATAATGGATATGTTATCATTAGTTAAGTTATTAACTTGACATTGAAAATTAAGAGACACTTTAAAGTTAATGTATCTCCCTGAGTGGTTAATGATTAGTGTGTATTGTTACGTGATTAATGTGATTGTGATTAAGGTAATTGTTTGACTAAATCAGTGGTAATTTCTTGTATTATTATTGTTTTGCCATCACTTTGTTTTCGGGATTTTTTTTTACTTGTTGCTGTTACACTGTAATACAATTGATTGATTCTGGTGAATACCTTTGTTGAAGGAAATTAATGATTACAATTAAAACAGAATTAGTTTGATTTAGTAGCTATTTGGTAATCAACCGATTTCATCACATTAACAATGTTAATGGCGAGGTAACAATTAAATAAATCACTCATTGAAAAAGGTGAATGGATAAAGATAACTTTTTTTTCCCATGTTAATTGTAACTGATTAACTGAATCAGGAAAAAAAAAGGTTAATCTAATTGTGTTAAACGTGATGATTATCGAGACAATGTAGTTAATCAATAGATTATCTTGATTATGATCTAAGGAAATGATTGATAAATTAATCTGGTGATTGACTTTGAGATTTTTTTTGATTTGGTTTTGGTTAATTGTCACAATTATTCAATGGTAATTATTCATCTTTTTTCAATCAAGGTGAAAATTAACTTTTAATTTGGTTTTTTTTGGCTCATTTTTTGATAATTTTCAGTTCGCAATCAACTAATTTGATTTTTATTTTATTCTCATAAGATTTTCATGTAATAATAAGTTCGTGATTTTAATTTTAAGGTCACCGGTAATTTCTCAATGACTTTTGCTGTTATTACCCCTAAAGGTAAGTTGATTTAGTTATTTAATTGTTGGGCTAATTCACTCTCTCTCTCTCTCACTTTCTCTCTCTCTAATCTTGATTTGATCTCAATGGACTATTTAATTTAATGCTAAATATTTGGTGTATTTAATACAAGGAAATCTTATGCCCTGAGGCATCAAAATGGATCATTAATATTTTTTGAGATGAACAACTGAAAGTACACAAAATTTTGAACCAACTCTTTGTGTCAATGATTCAATATCATTTGGATTAAATAATAATATTGATTGACATTAATCAAGAGGGATGAGGTTCAATTAGAAAAGACAATTTATCCTCTTAATTGTCATCTGAGAATTTAATTCGTCACTTTTAAAGGCCATTTTGCGAATCAACTTTTCTGTCCTTCGTGTTTATTATAATTTTCGAGGTGTAAACATTGACCATCCTTAAATTTACCTGACAATTAACTAGAGATGACCTTCAATTATAACGATAATCAGGTCAAAGGTGAATATTTTTCCATAACAATTTAAATTCGCAATTCGAAAAGTTCAATTCTCGTGTAGTCTTAATATTCAATTCCAAGGTTACGTGATTCAGAATATTAAAGAAACATGGAAACTATGTGAGGAAATTTCAATTTCCACTCGAAACAATTAGTTAATTGTTGATTCTTTCAAGTATTTGGTTCAAACCTAAGCAATTAATTTCTCTAGTCACGGATAAATTGTGATTAAATTACTCTAATTTTTTTCTCTCTCTCTCAATACAATAATATTTTCCAATTAAAGTAACGAATGTAAAAAAAAGTAAAGACAAAGGTCAACAAAAGATTAATGATTAACACAATTAACTACACTGATCACAATTAACTTTACCTTTTTGGTGATTTACTGATTGCAACTGAGACAATAATAAAAAAGCGTTTCAATTAAATCCTTTGGTTGCTAATTTCAAAACAAAAACTAACCTGGATAATCAACTAATTGTTAACCAAATCTATTATGTTGAGAATCAAATTTTCTCATTTGATTACAATTTAATACGAAATCTTTTCAATATAATCAACGAAAAAGTTTAAACAATTAAACCAACAAATTTATCAAGAACAACAATTAACTCCATTGTCAAAGTCTAACTTAATTTAGAAATTGTTTCTATTTAAATTGTAGTTATTTATTCAACTAATCAATTCATGATGATTAGCCAATCAGTAGATCAATCAAATTGTCTCTTAATTGTTTTCTCTTCAAACCAATCAAAGTTAAATTGTGGACAATTGCTGGTTAATATCATAACAATTAAGAATCTCTCTTTTTTGTAATATACTTTCAACTTGATCTGTTAATTGTTGATTGAACAAAAATTTAACTGTAACCATCTAATCACAAATGAAAAGTTACCAACAGAAAAAAAAACCAAACCAAATCAAATCAAATCAAATCAACAATCAAATGTAACAACAATTCCGGACAATAATATTTACTGATTGAGGACAATTTAATCAATTTAAAGGTCAATCCATTAGTTTGTAACTAATCTAGTTGGTGAATTAAGGTTAATCAATAATCGCAACGATTTTTAAACCAACAATTTAAAGGTGAGGAGGAAGAAGCAATTTAAAATTAAGAAGATGATTTAATTTCATTTCTATCTACTGATTGTTGTAACTTTTTTTTTCCGCCATCTTAATCATTTGTTAATCAGGGACAGTTTTTTTTACCACCTAACTAATCAAGATCAATTTAATTTGATTGTTTGGTAAATAATAATAATTATAATTGTTTGATTAATCAACGAATAGAAAACTTTTTTTTTCAGAAATTGATCTTCATAATTTATTATCAATTGCAACATACAAAAGGTTGTTTGTTATTCAATTGATTGCAATTGATTGTTGATTGTTGATCATGATTATTAATTTATATAATTTAGATTAGATAACAATTTACATTTCATCAAGTGTGAAACAATCAACAATCAAAATTGATCTTCAAAATGATTTAATCAATAACCACTTTTTTTGCTTTCGATTAACAATAATGGTAACTCAGTGTTCTTGATCTTTGGTTGTTTAGTAATTAATTTTGATTGTGATACTTGAATGATTAACTTAAATTGTTGATTATTTACAATAACTGAATCAATGAATAATAGTAAACAATTCATTTAAATGTGATCATATTTATTAATTAAATTTCTATCTCTATTATGATTAAACATCCTTGACATTTGAAAGTCTATTAAGAAATTAAAATCAATAGTTTTCATTTTAATTGTCAAATAAATAATTTAATTTCCAATCAAATCTAAATTGACATAATTTCAATTGCTCAATGAACATTAATTATCAAGTTTAATCCGCTGATAAATTGTCAAAGTCTATCAGTAATTAGCAATTGGTAATTTAAATTTCTCTTCACAATCTAAAATAATTAACTCATAGAGAAAATGAGATTAAACTAAATTAACTAATCATCTTATTGATTGATCGGTTGATTAACTATCTTCTAGTTAATTCTTGTCCCAATCAAATTAATGGTTAATTTTTGATTCAATTTTTTCCCCTAGAAAATCAACATATTGATTAGTTGATTAAATTTAGATTTAGATTAAATTGTAACCATGAAAACCTTTCGATTGTCAATTGTTACGTTAATTCATTAACACGGAAACATAATCATCATTAGTTAATTAGTTAATTAGTTAACGGTTTGAATAACCTTTCCCCAGGCTTTAAATGGTATCAAATTAAATTAAATTGTTATGTTGGTCATGGAAATTAGTTAATAAAACATTGATCGGCTATTAATATTTCGGTTAATACTCTGATTGTAATCAAAGTTTATGATTTAATTTTGTTTTATAATTAACAATCATATGGTCATGATCAATGTCTTACCATGACCAACATTTAATTTAGTTTAAATTGTGTTTTAATTTAGTTTGATATACATACAAGTACATTTACCCTACGGAAAGGTTATTCAAATCGTTATTAAAATTGATTCTAATGACGATGATTAGTAAATTGTTTCCGTATTAAGAGTTAACAATTAACAATCAACAGCCATTGACATGTTCACACTAATTGTTAATAAATATATTCAACTTAACAACAAGGACAATTTACTTTCAATTGGTATAATTAAATTGCTTGAAATCATTTAATTTCTTACAATTTAACCCAAGAATTGATATTTAATTGTCAATTTGAATCTGTTAATTAATTTTATTGGTAATTTTTTTGCTTCCTAATCATGATTAACTATTTTTTATTATGTTACTTGCTGCTAAGAGATTAGGATTTGTTAATTGTAGCTGATTACAAAATGATCAGCAATTAAGTGGTTAATTGCTGTCAACTAGTTTAATAAATCACGTGTGTTGTTAAAATTAAACTGCAATTAACTTTTAAAATTACTGATTAAATGATCAAGTGATTATGTAATATATATTATATTACAATTCGGTACAAATTAGTTAATTGATTAACCAAATTACTTGCTTTAATTACATAATAATAATAATAATACAATTGACAATCAGTAATTTAATACCAATGGTGACACTTTATGAGAAAGTTTAATTATTATCAGTTAATTGAAATTGAATTCAAGTTTTTCACCATTAGGACAATTAAGACCTTGATTGTTACCAATTGATTCCAAATTACAATTGTTACCAAAATAAATCTTTGATAAAATTTAATTCTAGAAAACAATTAACATACAAAAGGAAAGTTTTATTTTCAATGGAGTTGATCACAATTAACTGAAAACATGATTCGAATCACAATTTACTTGATGATTAAAGAAATCGCGAAAATCACATTGGACAATTAGGCAAGAAAGAAGATTCAAGTTCTGATCGAACATATATTTACAATGTTCGTAGGTCAAAAGTTCTAATCGATTTTCTAATCTTTTTTTAGAATAAAAAAAATTCGATTAATATAATTTGACGAAATTCTGACCTCCGGCATTTAGAACTTATCAAAATCGAAATATTCTCTATCTCCATGGTTTGTTTTCCTTAATTTTCTCACTAAATTACCCCATTGATTTACGTAATTCGTTAATCATTAAGTAAATTGTGATTAACTTTATACATTAGAATTTAGAAAACTAATAAAAAAATAAAACTTTCCTTTTGATGTTAATTGTTTTCCTCTTTAAAAATATCTCTTTCTAATCAATTAATAACAATCAAGGTCTCAACCACCATCTCAATGGTTAAATTTAATTCAATTAACTTGATTATCAATTAAGAAAACTTTTTCTCTCTCATCATAATTAAGTCGCCATCTATTGGTATTCAATTACAAATTGTCATTTGATTAATTTAACTAAATTAACTAATTAGCAAATATCTTTGATTGAAATATAATATCAACTAAATCCAATGTAAACAATTAGTTATGACCTTTGATTACAATCAATTAGATTGACTTGTTATTATTATTGTTTCTCTTTTCATTAATTTAATTACATTTTTCTCATCACAATTAGTTAACTGTAAATATTTACATTCTAATCATCATAATTGATGATTAGAATTAAATTTCCAGTCATTTGGTTGAAACATGATTTCTAAATTAAAGATTTAATATAAACTTGGCAAAATGATGGAAAATTATTATCCGTCAATCATAAGAAATTAACTAATTGCTTGTTGACAATTAACTTGATTATTTATGTTTCCATTTAACAATCAATCTAAATGATCAATCAAAAGAGAGAATCAATTTATTCTCAATCAAATTTCATTTACAATTTGATTTTCTCTCGATAAATTGATTCTTTTAATTGTTATTCTTTCAGTTTATTCAACCATTAATTAGTAATTAGAAACTAAAATTAAATTGTTGGAAATTTGAACAATTAAATTAATCTCATTTTCTAAAGAGAAAGTGTCGCCATCTGTTGGTCGTTTTCTGTTTTATTCTTTCATAAGATTAACTGATCAACAGTTTCAAGTTAATTTCGTTTGTAGTTAAATTAACAGTTAATTGTTTAATTTAAATTTCCATTGGTTATTAATTTAATTTGTTTCGGTGTAACAATCAACTGATACATTTAATTTCGATTTAAATAGAGAAGGTTAGTTAATTAACCAAAGTATATTTTATTCTGTGTAAAGAAAAGTAAGTAGGCCAATTAGTCTATTCTCTTTCACCTTTGTTCTTTGTTCTTTGTTCGTTTTTATTTTTTTCTCTTTTCTTTTTATTCTTCATTTTCTCTCATCTTTACTTTATCAAGTTCTCTTTTTAATTCCATTTTCTTTTTTTCTCCGTCATCTATATACATTTTCTTTCTTCACTTAAATTAATTTCTTTTTTTTTGTTACAACTTATTTTTTCTCATCAGTTTTGTGAATTTGGAAAATTCTTTTCGATTACCAGAATGGAAATAAAACCAAAAGATGGTCTCATATGTAAGTATATTTTCTTTTTAGTTGTTGACCCTATTGGTCAATCTACTCCGTTCTTTGTTCTCCATTCTTTTTCTTTTCTAACTGTCTATAGTCTTTTGGACGGCAAGTCCGTTCAGATGGTTGATACATTTTCTTAATTTCGTCCATCTTGGTGGTAGTTCGTTAATATTAATGAGAGAAATTTCTTATATGTTCTCTTTTTGTTTCTATTCTTGTTCTTTGTGGAGAATTGACTAACCTTGGGGTTACTGGGTTTCTATTTTTGAACAACTTCCGGTTAAATATTTATCTTTGTTAATTTGTTTCTTTACTTTGACTTTTTCTTTTTTTCAGATATCAATGATGAACTAATGAAAAAGCTGGAAGGAAGATCTGTCATGTTAGTATCTTTTTCTTCTGTTTTTACTGATAATTAGTACTGAAAATGTTCTCATCCATTGATTATCTCGATTTTTTAGTGAAACTCTTTACGGAGAAAATCGTTTAACCATTAGTGATCAAAAAGAAGGATCTTCCAGTACTCCTTCCAGTACTCCTTCCAGCTCTAAATCGGAATCTTCAGTGAATGGGTTTAGTATGAGAAAAGTAAGACAACCTCCAGGTCAAGCGGACAACTGTTGTCAAAATAAAGGTCTCATGCTTGGTTGCCGCGCTTGTATCTTACAGAAAACAGACCTTGAAATAAAACAGCGATGGGCTAACAAGCTATTACCTGGTGAAGATTGGGATGTTGACGATGATGAAGACTATATTCATGCCCATGATGCTGTTGAAGTGGTTACTGTTGTCGATGAGGTTGATCCTAATATAAAATGGACCAAACTTGAAGGTAATCAGTCAACTTTTGGACCAGTTTCGAAAAAAATGTTCACCGATTGTATGGAAGCTTATGATGTGCTCGAAGTGAATCTCAGTGTCTGTCCAATTGAACTATTTGACTCTACCATGTGGACATCAATGGAATACATTCAACGTCTAAATCTCTCGGGCTGTAATCTTGAGTCAGTTCCTGAACAGATTAGATCTTTACGTAATTTGCGTCATCTCGATCTTAGCTACAACGATTTATCATCTTTCCCTGATTGGTTTTGTGAACTTTGTCTACTTGAAAAACTTGACGTTTACAGCAACAAATTTTCGTGTTTATCTGATGAAATTTGTAAATTGTCCAACCTCAACTGCTTGAACTTTGGTGCCAACAACATTGCCGCTTTACCTGAGAGATTGGGTGAACTAACCAATCTCACGTGCATTGAAGGTCCTTATAACAAGCTTGTAGCATTACCTGATTGTTTCGGCTCTTTGAAATTGATTACCAAGATCGATTTCAGGCACAATTTTATTCACAAGCTTCCACCGTCTTTTGCTGATTTGACCATGTTAGATGAAATCGATTTGTCTGAAAATATTTTGGTCAATCTACCGGAAACCATCAAATTTGCCTCAACAATTTCCACCATCTTGATTGATAGCAACTTTATTTCTGAATTACCAGAGTGGTTTGGTTGCCTACCGAAGCTAAAAAACTTTTCATGCAAAGCCAACAAACTTGTGGGAGATTCATTGAGAGAAGATTTTCTTGAGGCTAGTAAACAATTGAAAGAACTGAATTTCAATGGAAATGAAATTGGAACTCTACCCGATACAATTGCGTCTATTGATACTTTGACCCATCTCGAGGTTGGAAGTGTTGAAATTATGGAAAGACAACCCGACATTAAAAATGGAAACAAACTCAAAGTTTTACCTCCTTTATTTGGTGTATTGTTAAGTGATCTCGTCGAACTGACTCTCGATGAAAATAATATTTCAGTTTTACCTGATGGTTTTGGCTCTGGTTTGGTTAATCTGGTGAGAATTAATCTTTTTCGTAATGAACTCACTGAAATCCCATCATCGTTCTGTCTCATGAAGAATCTGAAAGAGTGTGTCCTTTCACACAACAAGTTGAAAACTTTGCCCGAAAATTTTGCCGATCTTGTGAACTTGACTCATCTTAACCTTGACCATAATGAGGTGAGTCAATTTTTGTCCTTTTTTCGCACTTTTAATTCGTGGTCGGGATTTTTATCACCGTTAATTCATTGGTTAAAATTTTCAATCGATTTATACAATAGCAAATCATTTTCATCATTTAATTTACATAATTATTTCTTTTCACCATATAAACTGAATTCGATTCGTTTTGTTCAGTTTAGATTTAAAAGCCAACCTTGCCTAACCTATTTTATTAACTCTCGCCTTTTTTTCAGATGAATCATTTCCCTCTATCTTTCTACAAATGTCCTGAACTGTCCACTTTGGACTTGGTCGGTAATAAGTTCGTAGCTTTTCCTAGCAATTTAGCTAGATTGCCTAAATTAACTTGTCTTGGTTTCGATATCGATGTATGTATTATTCAATTTATTTTCTTGATTTAATTTCATTTGATTTCATTGTTTAGATTATTAATTTATTAATTTTCTTATTGTTTGTCTCATTACAGTTGTGTGGTATGCCGATTGTGATGAGACATCATCTGACGGCTGAAGCTGTTTTAAAGCTTCATAAATCTATTCAGCGCGGCCTTGAACATTGGTGTCGAGAGCCAAGTTCAATCGCCGTGCTGAATAGTGGAAACGAAAGTTTCCTTGAAGCTTTAACTCTGGACTATTCGTCCAGAAAGCGGAAGTGGGTTGACTCTGGATATTATAGTATCCGAGTCAACAAACACGCTCGGACTCATTTCGATTTTTTCAACAAGGAGACCATGATTTTGGACGATGATGACCAGTGGAAAGACGGAAATAGGCCTCTCTCGCACCTTCAATATATGATCAACGTTGTAAACGCTGAGAAGGTGCGAGACAGGATCCTTCAAGAGCTCGCATTCACTGAACGGCCTCATATGCCGAGATTACCAGGCAAGCCAGTTCCGGTTCCTCTGTTCAACAAGAACCCTTTAAAACATTATGGAAGACCATTGGCCTATCGACATCTTCCACCATTGAAGACCCGCCGCCATTACCCTAAAGGGAAAAAACATCAAAAATAATCAAGTTTCACTTTTTTTTTCTTAATTTTTTCATTTTCATTTCAATGAACAGTTTTGTTACTCTGTTCATCCTTTGAAAAATTTTTTGCATTATCTTTTTTACGATTATCATTAATCTTGACAACCTAACAATCTAACCTACACCACCAAAAAAAAATCAATATCATCATTAAATGACTATTTACATACTGTAAACTTTCTCGTTAATTCATGACAATTAACAACAATAAGCTTTAACAATAATCAATTAATGAAAAGATCAATAACTTTCAGAAAATTTGACCAACAATAAGCAAAAAAAAGTTAAAACCGGTTTACCAATATGATTTAAATCAAAACAAACTCACCATTTAATCAACATGATTGCAACAATTGAGAGTAAAAAATGAACGATAAAAATGGTTGAATAACCCGAGTCCATCTAAATCATCACCATAATTTAATTTCATCAAGAAAAACTTATTCACTTTCTTTAGGAAAAAAATTCGGAGCCCAGATAATTAAAACTCAGACTTTTTTTGGAGGACAAACTTCACCATCATGATCACTTTCATGGTCACTCAATTTACCTGATGGAATTAGACAAACCATGAATTTTGACAGAGAGAAAATGAAAGAAGCAAAGAAAAAGAAAAAAAAACTCAACCAGGTATTGTAATTAACTCTCAAGACAATTTAAATAATCACCACAATTAAACAAGGCCAGGAAGGAATTAATTTGTTTACTTTTCTCTTCCGTCTCTCCATCACGAATAAGACCCGATGACACATTGGAATTAATCTTATCCCATTTTAAGCTACTTTCCCACTTTCATCTTATTAATTGTGTTACGATTAACAACAAAAAGCTAATTGATTAACCATAATTAACATTTATCTCGATTACCTGGTTGTCATAGAGATAAAGATAAACATGTATTTTGGTTTAATTTTGTCATTTTGGTGCATCAGGATTACATCATTTCTCATTCATCTTTTCATCTTCAACCGATCAACTTTAATTTTCAATCTTCTTTTTCTCATCCCATTTCAATTGTAACCATTTGCAATTGATTTAATTCTAATTTCCATTCATCAACTTTCATTTGCAACTTTAAATTCAACTGTTTCTCTTTTAATCCTAATCCTCTGTTTCTTTGTTGTTGTTTCCTTTATCTCTCGGTTTCTCTCCCTCTCTCTCTCTCTCTCTTTATCTCTCTCGCTGGGTCGCTCTCTCTCTCTCTGTGTTTAGTTCATTGCCAACTCTCTTTGTCTCTTATTCTCCTCATTTTCTGGTTCAATTAATCTCAAACTGTTTTCTTTTAATTATCTATTCGGTGATTCTTCTCATTTAATTAATTCATCATGTCCGAAGGTACTGATGTTATTGAAATATGTAAGTTCTTTTCTTTGTTTTCTTTGTTTTCTTTTTTTTCTATGCAACTGGTCATCGCTTTTGCCCTTCCTATAAACGGAGACTCCGAGATTATGTGATCTTCTGGGTTTCAACAGATTCTCTTTCCATATTATCAACCATGTTAATCTGTTGATCTTTTGATTTGTTAATCTTTTGTATTGTTTTGGTTGATCATCGAGTTTAATTACATTGGGTAATTGTTGATAGAAAAAGACAATAGTGAAAAAGTTACAATAGCAACAAGTTTCTTCTGGTAAACTCTTCGGTTTGTCTCTTCTCAATTTAATCTTGGTGATTCTCTTTGTTCAACAATTTATGATCAATACAATTTCTGTAATTCAATGTACTTTGTTTATTTTAATACTATGAATCTAATTGAATCTTTTTCCTTTTGCAGGTAAACCAAGTTTCCGTTCCAACATAATCGATGAGGAAACACAAAAGGCAATCGATGAAATCGATGCTAAATTCCTCAGGTATGTATCATTGTTATTCTGCTGATTAATTAATACAGAATTGTAACTTATATTCTATTCTATTTTCTTCTTCAGTATCTCAATATTCAAGCAGAAACATTCGGCCTTGACCAGTGATCCAGGGGAAGAATATCTGATGAACCACAAGCGCCGAGGAAAATGCGTCATTTTCAATCATCGGCTTTTTGAGGAAAAGACATTAAATGAAAGAAAAGGAACTGAAATCGATGCTCATGCTTTAAGATTTTGTTTCGGTGAATATGGTTTCGATGTGAAAACCTATGATGATCTGTCAGTTGCTGAGGTTATTGCCATGTTGAAAGCTCGTAAGTGATTTTGTCTAAACGGCAAAGAAAAGATTTGCTATTGTATCAGTTTTACCTTGAAAAGAGTAACTTGTTTGGTATTGACTCCCGCTCTTTTTTTTCATTCGCTCACTTTATTGACTTTTGTTTTCTCTCTTTCTCATGAAATTTGCTCTCTATTGTTCTTCTCACCATAGTTTCCAAGGAAGATCATTCTGATGCTGATTGTTTCGTTTGTTGCATCATGACCCACGGAGATCAAGCCAATTTATGGGCTCGAAATGATAAATATCCAGTTGATCTACTCTTTGCTCCTTTTACTGCCGATAATTGTCCAACATTGGCTGGAAAACCGAAATTGTTTTTCATCCAGGTAAGTGAAATACTAAAATGTAATTGTTATAATGATGATGACGTATCTCTCAAGCATAACGGGATCACCTAATGGCCCTTAATTGTTTCATCTTAACCTTTAATGATCTATCTCTCTCTCTCTCTCTCTCTTCCCTTTATTTCACCTTTCAAACAAAATCGTTTGATGACTAATATTTTGTTCCTGATTTTTTTCTTTCATCAGGCTTGTCGAGGAGATAAATTAGACCCTGGTGTCGTTCTCAGAATTGGTACTGATGAGACGGACAGTGCTCGATATTATACTATTCCTACTTGGGCTGATTTCTTAATCTCATACTCTACGGTTCCTGGTTACTACTCTTGGCGTAATACCCGAGATGGATCTTGGTTCATGCAATCGTTAGCAGAAATCATGCTAAAAGATGGATCGGAAATATCATTTCTCGATGTGATGACAAAAGTTAACCGAAGAGTCGCTTATGATTTCACCTCATCAATGGCCGCCGAAAAGAAATTCGATAAACAAAAACAAGCTCCATCAACTGTCCATATGTTAACTCGTCGACTTGTCTTACGCCCAAAAGGCCACAAAAATGAAAATCGATCAATGGCTGTTAGAAATGGTGAAACCATCTCTGAGAATATGATTAACAACAACATAACAACAACCACAGCAACAATTAAAGTTACACCAACATCGATTGCCGCAGTTGCCAATACAACATCAGTCGTGACAACAACGAAAATGATAGAAGTTCAATCTAAATCGATTACCCATCAAGTAACTAAAGATGTTAAAATTTAGCGAAGTTAATTATTTACTAACATTTAACTCACCTAATTCTCTATTACAATTGCTCACAATTTTATGCTCTCTCTCTCTCTTTCCCTTAATTACTTTAATTTCTCTCAAAATAACCAATTAATTTTCTATCATTTTTTATTCAACACTGAAGAAATTTTTTTGCATCCAATTAACGTTAATTATGGAAAATCAATAAATTAACTAATTATTATTTCACTTTACGTTTCCCTTGTTTCATTAAATTCATTTACTATTATCGATTCACCTTTGGAAGTCGCGCTAAAGAAAAAAATATTTACTTTCGAAAATCGAACAAAGTAAAAATCGATTTTCACTTTTTCTTCCCTGAAACGATTAATCATTAATTCTCAAAAAGAATCGAAACAATCGATCTTCAGAATCTCAAAAGTAAACAAAGAAAAATTCTTCAGTTGATTCGCTTTGTTTGGTTATACAACTTAAAATGTTGTTCCTACATCCCAAACTTATGATTAATATAGTTAATAACAATGAAATTTTCATCATCTTTGAAGGATTGTCAAGTGACCTTCCTACTTTTCAGACGCAAGATTGTTGGATACGAATTTTAAATGAAAAAAGTGAAGTTATTGTTAGACTTAATAAATATAATTTAAGACAACAATTTGACCTTTTAATTCATTTATTAGACAGTAATTATATTGTTCAAGGTGTACCAAATTTTAGAACTGTTTTCAATGTTGAAATTCACAACGATTTAGAATATGTAGTAATTATTAATGAGAACATTGAAAAAATGATTCGAAAAAACAATTAAATATTTTCTTAATGTGACATATGAACGTCGAGGTAAATTTGATCCAATAGTGTCTCCTGAACTGCCACCTTCCTGATTATTTGATTCAATAACACTGAACACTTGTTTAGAGCTTTACCATGTCGACGACCACAACTCGAACATCTGAACTTTTTACAATTGGTTGTGTGAGAAGGATTTCCACAACGACAACAAATCAATAACGATCGACAGGTATGTCCTAATGGAAACCGAGCCTTGCATTTCCAACACTGATACAAATCTACATCATGGAAAAAGTAAACCGACCTTTCTTGAAAAGTTCCCTGCATACCTTTTGATAAAATTAACAAAATAATTAGATCATTATAAATCATAAAACAAAATTAACTTACCCCTGCGAAGCAAAATATTCATCACTTCGGTATTAACCCTTATAACAATAAGAGAATGACCATTTACCACTTTCATCTCATCAAAGATGAAATTTCTTTCATTAAAACCAAATGAACCACCAAGAAGGGCAACAAAATCAGCATCACTTCGACGGTCTTGAGTACCAGAACGATGACGATAAACACAGATACGATACCAATCAGTAGTAACCTCTTTAACATCACGAACATATTGACGACCCTCACAAATTTCACGAAAACTGGTAACCATTGAACGAAAAACACAAACTCTGACACCTCCACTTACCACACAAGTTAAACTATCCACAGCAAAAAAGGTTGACACTGGACCATCTCTTTCCAATCTTAACTTGAAACGAGACAAATTGTTTCTCAAACTCCTTAATCTCGGTCGAATCAGTAAATAGATGTAAATGTTTTCACTTAAAAGAATAACTTTTGAATTTTTTAAAAGCTCCATTTGAAACAATTTAAATAATTAGAAATTGAAGAAATAAACTGAAATTGATCAAACCTTTACAATTTGAAAAATGACTAACTGAAAATCTTTCACATCCGCCTTACTACCTTACACCACAATAGATGGCGCTAAAATTGATTAAAGAAAGCGGAAAAAGATCTTCAGCCATTTTTAACTTTAAAGATGAAAATTTAAACGACAAATGTCACCATCAAATAATTCAACTAAAGTTGATTCTTCATAGATATAATCAACTTCAACATAAATTACTTGCAATCCAACAAATTTCTCTTCAAGACTGAAAAGAATCTCATTCTCAATCTTTCCATCCCCCAATACCTTATTAATTAAAGGTTCGGCATCGACACAATCAAACAAGGGAAGCAAGTTCCCCTTAACCATTAAAAGCATCTCGCGATTAGCCATTGATTGACGAAATACACGAGTCACTTCCATTACAACTCTTAGGCCTCCTCGACAATTCTCGACATAATAATTTAGAATATCATCTTCTCTTTGTCCATTTGGCAAGGCGATAATCATCTTAAAAAACTTAGAGAAAACATTTTCATTTTTTAAGAGATAGAAATAAACATAAAAATTCATAGGAGAATTAACACTTGTTAATAAAGACATTTTTTCACCTTGATCACCAAACAATCTTTTAATTTTTGTCATTTATACAAAAACAAACAGACAATTTCAATCAACACCAAAATACAACCACCTACACTCTTATAGTAAGATAAAGAGCGGGCCTTTCAAATGTTAAATTGAAATTTCAGCCTCTTCAAGAGTCAAAAATTCATATCTAAAATCAATCCTCTCGAGTGCTCGCCGCAATTGACCAATGAACTCAACACAACGAATAGAAGTCAAATTATGACCCAATGTACCACAAGCTCCGCATTCCACGTCCTCATTTGATAATCGATTACAACCACCAATTCCATGAGCCACTAGACATCGGGAACACCTTTTCTCACGCCGACAATTCCTAAGAGTATGTCCAAATCTTTGACAATTTCGACAGATTCTAATATTTAAATTGTCAACATAAAGAACCTCCTGTTTATCCAATTTAATGAGCGTTTCAGAAAGAGCTTGGCGTATTGAAGAAAATACAGTCATTAGAATATAATAGTTCTCTTCACCACGAAAAATGAAATCAATTTGAAAACCACCCTCTTTAAACACATCATTTTCCTCACGAAGGCTCCTTTTTAAACGATCCGAATAAACAAAATCAGCAGCAAATTTCCTTCGCGGTAGTATTAACTTTAACATAGGCGAAACTAAATTTTGATTATACATGATTAAACCATCCACCAAATTATCATTAGCTACCTTGAATTTTAATCTTTCATCGTCACTTTTGAAAGCTAATCTAAGACAATTGTATCCGATCTCATAGTCCAATTTACTTTCCTTTATCACCGTATCCAAAACACCAAGAACTAGATGAGGACTCACAAATTTACGATTAACCAACCTTTTTACTACAAGTATCGACCTTTTTTCAAGGCCAGAAACATCTAAAACAACAGATGATTTATCAATTTTATGAATTAAAATTTCACTCTTGTTATTAAAACTATCCATTGTTCATTAAAACAACCCAATGATTCATGAAAACAAAACAATCATCTCCATAGAAACAAAAATTTAAAGCGCTAAATAAACTTTATTCAAAAAGGAACTGCAATAAAAAAACCTTGAGTAAGGAAAAAAGCATGTTCTTAGCTGAAACTACAACATTACAAATACATATTTATGATTAATCTGCTCCATCTCATCACAAAGATATCGATGAAAAACCGCACAATTTCTATCATAACCATTATGACCATCACGACCACAATTCGGACACTTAGGAACATAATTAACTGTATTTTTGTTGACACAATCTCGGGACAAATGATTACTTGAACAAAAAGAGCAAACAGGCAAACGGAAGCACTTTGCTTTCTTGTGACCAAAACGACAACAATTGTCACATCTGAGAAGTGAAAAATGATCGAAGACGCTTAATTTACCAGAAGAAGTTCGAATTAAACCACACTTCTCCTCAATTAAAGATCTAATACGAGATTCCACTTGGATAATCACACGATAACCAATACGAGTCTTTATCGAGGCTATCCAATTAATAGCCAAATCCTTATTCCAATCATTCCAATCGCGAACCTTATCGAGCCAACCTTTCCAAGAATCTTCATTATCGTCCGACGCCGAAACAATCACCTTTTCGATCCTAACCATTGGATCTTTGACAGGAGGAATTTTAACAAGAAATTTTTTCTTAAAATTCTCATCACCATTTAAAACACAAGCCAAATCAGTTCTACCCTTGAAACTACAACACTTAACCTTTAAACAAAATTTACCAGTCAATAACTTATCGATATACTTAGCACAATTTAACTGTTCGAAAAAAGTCTTGACACTTTCTCTTATTTCGTAACCCTTTACCGGATCGGGACTCACAATCAACAAAGTCGGAAACAAATCAAAATTCTCAACCCTTAACCAAGAATCCGGTCTACGAACCTCAACATTAAACCTGACATGAACGTCACGATCGAATTCAAATCCATTCCTCTCAATGGAAAGATCGGTGGTCCTCAGATTAGCCCGAGTATCATCAAAAACAATATCCTTGTCTCCTCCTTTCCAATGTTCGTATTTAATTAAAAAACTTTGGACAATAGTCTCTACATTAGAATCAAGATTACGATAATTTTCAGGCACTGAATTAAAATCAATTAAACACTTAATGATCTGATTAAAATCATCTTCACCGTAAACAAGAATTAACTCGTTAAAAATATCACCAGAAGCATGATCAAGCATAAACTTTTCAATCAAATTGTAACAACTATCAAAATCACTGACAAAGATATCGTTATCTAATAAATCAACATCAGAAACATCTAAACGCTGCCTCTTTGAAACAGACATGGTCAGACATAAACATAAAATGACCCAACAAAACATTTCAATTTCATTTATAAACAAACAGTTGTTATGACAACATGAACATCATTAACATCAACATCCAAAAGTCATTTAAAAATTATGAAAATCTTCTAAAAATTCAGGAAAAAAGAGACGATTTTATATTAATACTAACAGAAACAAACCAAACAATTAAAAATCATCGTAATATCATCAATAATGACAAAGTAACAATCTCTTTACCAAGTGAATATCGTTTTATCAAAAAATTTCTTCATAAGAAAAATATAATAACAAGTTTAATTTACAGCAAAAAACAAGGTTTTTTGTGGTTAATAGCGGTGTACAGATCGAATACAACTGACAATTTCTTCTACAACAATTTAACAGAAACTCTGGAGCAAATTAATGAATTTCCTATCCTCATCTCTGGTGACATCAACGCTGAAAGTACAATTTGGTGCGAAAACCCAAGAAACAAAGGAAATGGGCAAGTAGATGACTTCAGAAAATTTATCAGTAAACTCAACGAACTAAACTTTCAATCAGTACTAGGAAAAAATAGAAATTTAGATTATACAAGAAAAAATACAAATAATACTAAATCAATAATTGATGTTATTCTCGTCAATTTCCCACAAATAACGCAATATAAAATTACGAACACTAACCTAAGCGATCATCAACTAATTAGAGCTCGCATAACTTTCACCCCTCTCAAGAAAATAAATTTATCTCTTACCAAATTCAAAATTAAACGGATAAACTATAAAAATATAAACAAAACAACAAGAGATATACTAATTTCCCCGATAATTAACAGATTTCAAGTTAAACTAGATCAAATATTCACAAAATCAAATCAAAAACCACTAACTATCAATGAAATATACAAAACAATTGAAAAGAGAAAACAGCAAGTTAATATATCCAATTTCGTTACGACTAAAAAACTTAGAACAATTGATTTTGAACAAATAAGAGAAACTAACAAAAACAAATATCAAATTGGTCTCCATGAAACTGAAAAAGAACTCATTGAACGAATTAATTTCAATTGCTCATCTTCATATGCGGACGATTATCATTACAATGAATGGAATAAATTCAAAAAGATTAACTGTGAAACAATATCCAAATTAATAGACAATATTTTTAAATCGGGAGAGATACCAAGTTTACTCAAAACAAGTGGAGGTATCAAAATCCCAAAATCTCAAGGTTTTAGACTCATTAGATGTCAGTCCTATCTGATGAAGATAATCGATCTAATTTTAACTAATAGAATTAAGAGTAAAATAGATTTGATTATCGACACACAATTACAATTCGCCTTTCTAGAAGATTGTGACAGAATCAATATGCTACTTCATTTTGAAGATATACAAGAAGAATACAAAAACATCTATCTAATGGACATTGAAAAAGCCTTTGACCAAATAGACAAAGAACAAATTTTCAAGAAACTAGAAGGTAAACTAGATGAACAAACTCTGGAGTTAATAAAAGACTTTTTCAAAGACAGGAAAATTAGATTATATGAAGAACAAAAATTTAATATAATTAATGAACAAACTGCTCTCATTCAGGGCACATCATTATCTCCAATTCTCTTTTGCATAGGCATCGACAAATTTCTAAGAATTAATAATCAGATAAAAAGAAGAATTGTATCCTACGCCGATGACCTTTTAATTTTCAGCGACCAAAGGTCAGAAGAAATAGTAAACAACATTAATCAACAACTTGACGAAATCAAATTAAGAATTAACCCAGACAAAGTAAAAATAATTAAACAAAACAATCAAATACAAAAAACAACAATGTTAGGCTATGATTTAAAATACAATCAAACTACAAACAAATACAAAAACAAAATAGACGAAATAACAATTAACGTAATTAGAAGCTTAAACATCCAACATCTAATAATTATATCTGAGGCCTATCTTAATTCTTCAATGAGCCATTTAGGAACATCACCATTTAGACTAAACAACAATTATTCAATAACAATCGAACAGTTAATTAAAGAAGGTCTTAAGAAAACTTTCACAACAATTTACGGAAAATTAAGGATAAGCTATTGGTTAACATACATACTCGGCCTTAGGAACCCAGCCAACAATTATCTGACCAATCTAATCTTCAATATGATCAAAAATGAAACTGATATCAAACAATTTCCATTGATTCAAATTTGTGAAAACAAAAAAATAATTAACACACACAAAAATAAACAACAACATAATAAAAATCCCCAAGCGATAATGGAGATTTACAATAACAACAAATGGATTTGTATCAAATTCACAGATAATAAGTTACATCATAATCACTTTGAATACCAAAACCAAAGCACAATCTTCAACATCATCATTAATCATATAAATAACAGAAACCTGGACTTAATCATTAGTCAATCACAAGTAAATAATGCATTTGAACAAAAATTGATATCCTTATCCAATCAATTTAAATTTAACTTTCAACTAATCAAAAGAAAGATAAACAAATGCGAAGAAAAGTTAACGATTTACAATATTAACAATCAATACCTAACCGAAAAAGATTACAAACTATTCATTAAACATAAAATTAACCAAGCTGAAACTAAGTTATACATGAAAGAAGCTCCTAATTACATCAAAACCATGTTTCCAAATGGAAAAATTTTCTTCCAAAATAATCAACACTTCAAGAATCCAATCAATCTTTTAAGAAGTATCTCAAAAATTAATATCAAACTTGGTATCAACTGCACTTACTGTCAGATAAAAGGAGACAAGAATCATTGGAAAAACTGCCGATACCTGACTGAAGAAATTAGAAATTGGAATTTCGAAGAAAACTTCAACAACATCCAGGAAAAAATATTCAAAATTAGCAAACAAATGGGTTCAAACGAACCTCTCCCACCGTGGAGTCGCCACTGAGTCGGCGATAAACCTACTAACAGCTTTGTTGCACCAAATTCGTTTATCTTAACAATTAATTTAATTTTTTTTCTCCATTTTGGTTAGTTAATTAAATATCTTTTCTATCCTAGTCTTTGGTAAGTGGCCAGTGATCTTTTTATGTTGAGTTTTACGTTCTAATACGTTAGAGAAACTCGTTCTCTCTTTCTCTCTCTCTCTCTCTCTCTCTACTTGACCTTATAAAACATTCAATGGGTTTTACAAACATAGTTACATTAGTGTTATTATTTGATATTTTCTTTTCTTGACAGAATTATATCAATTTTATCGCTGATCTTTGTTCTTTACCCTTCTTTTAGAACGTAGTGTGAATTGTGACAAACTATGTCCGGACAAGCTGTTAATTATGGTGAACAAGCGTTCAACTCTCAATGTATTTGCCATGGATCAAGCTCATCAAATTCGTGTCAATGTTCATCCTCAGGCTCATCTAGTTTATCTCGGTACAATTCCAGAGGTGGAATGATAGCTTCTGTTGATATGTGCTTCTTCTGTTTCGATGTACTTTATTCTCACCTTCACTCTTTAGAGACCCCAAAGGCACCACCATTTCCTAATGAATCATAGTAAGTTAACCTGACTCACAATTTTCCCTTTGTTAAGCTAATTGATTACACAAAGAAAAACATCCATTCGTTGGCAGAATTTTACTCTCATTTTTCGATTTTTCCCTTTATTCTTTTTTTCATTTAAATCTAATCGATATTTTCTCTTTTTCTTTCAAGTCCTCTTTTTGTTACTTGGAAAATTGGAAGTGATAAAAAATTGCGAGGATGCATTGGAACATTCAATGCCATGAATCTCCATCTTGGACTTCGTGAATATGCAGTTACCAGGTTAGTTTGATGTCGATTTTAAGTATTACTCAATCACTTCCGTAATATGTACTTGTGTTGAGAGAGAGATAGAGGTTATATTTAGGTCACAATTATCGTTCACTTCAATCTGAAACTTGGTTAATACAAGTCAATCGTTATTCCCGAATTTGATCCTGAACATGCTGAATCTTGATATGAATTTGTCGTTGAATTTTTCGAAAATCTTTTCGAACTGTGTTTTTGTTTTATATTATTTGAAATGACTAAATCTATTCTTTTTCTTTTTCTTTTTCTTCTAGTGCTTTCAAGGACAGTCGATTCGCTCCAATCAGTAGGGACGAATTTCCCAGGCTTCATGTTTCAGTTTCTATTCTTCGCCATTTTGAGGATGGTAACAATTATCTTGATTGGGAAATTGGTATTCATGGGATAAGAATCGAGTTCTACACAGAGAAAGGATCTCGTCGAACGGCTACTTTCTTACCCGAAGTGGCTCCAGAGCAAGGTTGACCAGTCATTTTCCTCGATTCTTAACCCATTCCTTAACAGAACCAACCAGAAAACTTCAAGGTTTAACTCAACTACAAACAAATGGTTGTCTTAAATTGCTGAGAAATCACCATTGTTTACATAGATTGTGAAGTGAGCTTTATTATATTATAGAATTTATTACATCTCTTTACTATGGCGAAAAATAATCAGTTAGAAATGTATCCATTTTAAAAGTCAGTTGAGCGGAGAAAGTGAAATTAATTAACTACTAGATACCTAACTTAAATTATTTAGAGTAAAGAAGGAATTTAATCAAGACTTATAAATCACGTTAAACAACCTGATTTGATGAATTAATCCTTGTAACACTAATCTCAATTTTGTTTTCTTCTTATTCCAGGTTGGAATAGATGTGAAACAATCGACTCTCTCCTTCGCAAGGGAGGATACAAAGGGTTGATATCACCCGAAGTTCGATCGTCAATCAAATTGACGCGCTACCAAAGTGAGAAAATTACCGTTAGCTATCAAGAGTACAAGGACTACGCTCGAGCAAAGTGTTGATCTTCACTTAAAATAGAAAAGTATGTAACTTAATCGCCGAGAATTGGGCCAAATTTACCATTCAATTAACATCGTCTCACTTATAATTACAGATCAATTTTACTTTCGCTACGGAAGCTTCATTAAACTACAGTATAAATATATTCCAAATGGAAGTTGAAATAGTAAAAATCTCAACGACCGATGGCCTAAGATGCAAACGGCTTTTACGATTTTCAATCGTCTTTTAAAATTATGGTCTAATAGAATTTCTCTTCTTCTTCCATTCAAAATCCTCTTACTTTTCTTCATTCTTTTCTCTCCCTCTTAAATGGCTTTGCTTTCGTAACAACAAAATTTTCTATCAAAGTTTCATCGTTCTATCAACTAATAACAATCACTTTCATCATTGTACTTATATTAGAAAGAATCACCAATTATCATCACTAAACAAAATTCTAATAATCTTTCGATTGTTTCAACCAATTTTATTAAAAATATCATTTAGATTGAAAAAGAAACTGATGAATTGTTATGAATCGATGATTTGTTAATTTCCAGGAAAATGAATTAAAGTGATGGAATCCAAATGTTACCATGAGAATCTGGTTTACTTTTCTGAGGAATATCCCATCTCCAAGGTTCATCTATTTTAAATTAAAAGTGATTTAAATTCAATTAGTTTTTTTCTATTAAGATAAACATATGAGATTTTCTTAAAGATTGATGAATGATTAAGTAAATAATTGGGAGTTTTGCTTACCTTCCTCTCTATATTTGGTCAATGGTAAATCAAAAGGAATTGGAAATGTAATCGGAACTTTCTCTCCATCACCGTCGACAGTTAAACCTTCCGAAACTGAGAATGTATCAAATGATCCCTAATGAGAATAGAGAAAAAGTGTAATTAGTAAATTGCGAGAGAAATTGAGTAATGAATTAATTGGAAAAAGCTTACAAATGATTTTGGTAAAAAGAGAACACCAAGTTCATAGGCGCGAATACATAATTGTGACGATTGTTTCTCTAACGATCCCCAAGCGGCTTTCGATAGATTAGCGCTGGTTAAAATGCCGAAGTAAAGTTGCTTCATATCGGGGGAGACTCGAAAATAAGATTTGATATGTGGTGAAGCTCGAGTTCTTCCCTTTTCATCACTTTTCCATCGGTGAAGAAATTTGGTCAAGTAAAGTTGCTTTCGATGTGTCGAATCACTGTAAGGTAAAGATCCTCCCGCCGGGTAACCTTCTAGACTGTTACGAACATCGTCAACACATGGAAATACAAGTTTCATCGGTGGTTTGGAAAAGGCTGAAAATCTATTGGGTGTTGTCCCTAAACTCTGAAGGAATTCACCCTGAAGCCAAGCTTCCGCTTTCGATCCAAGGGAACCGATACTTGAGAATTGACCGATCACAGGCCAGTTCGGTTGAACCTGTTCACATAAAGCTTTTTCTGATGACAATATTTTCCTCAGTTTCATGTGTCCATATTTATGAAGATCAGCTCCAGTATGACGACCTAATAAACAATCAAATCAAATCACCAGTTAATTTGATTGTTCAATACATGTAATTCATAAGAGTATTTCATCAGTCTTACCTGGAGTTGAACCAATCAGATAAACTTTAGCTTCGGACATGTCATATTTTTTCAATATTTCACACCAATGGTCAATCGCTTTGTTTTTATATGATCTTAGGTACAGAATTAGATCCGTTTGGAATTTAGTTCGTGATTTATCTGTAGGAATTTCACCATCTTTGAACGGAGGGAACAAAGGTGATAACCAGACTCCTTGAGTTTTCTCCCTCCAATCTTGTTCGATGAGATTTGCCGTATGAATTACGACACGAAGATGATTGTCATACCGAAGAATCATCATCTTTGTATGATGAGTTCCAAAGGCATCATTCAGTCGAGCTCGAGCTAAACTAATATTACCATAGGGACCAGTTTCGGCTTCTAACTGAGCGGTAGTTTCTCTCTTATCCTGATGGACCAAAAGAATTGGTAAATGACGGAAACATGGCGGATATTGATCTATAAGCCAACCGACATCGAACATGTAATTAAACTGAACAGATTCTTGGAGTTGACCCCATTGTCTTGAAAGAATCTCCGTTATCCCAATAGAACAGAAATTGTTAACACTTTGATCCATCCCTTTAACTTTAATAAGAAATAGATTGAGAAGATTATCAGGTTTTCGAAATGATTTTGGTGATTTAGATGGACTAGTAGTCGAACTTGATGATAATCTTTTTCGCTTATTTACTGGAGAATCAGTGACATTTGAGTCGTTCATTTTTACTGAGTCATAGACAATTTCTAGAATATCATCTTTACATATTCTCAGTGGCTTTTTCTTTGGCGTAATGACTCCAACATCATCATTCTGGGAAATAACTTGAGCTTTAATCTCTGGCTTATCTTCTGGTTCCTGAATCAGTTCATTATTTTCATCAACTGGTTCACCTTTGGTTTCATCATCAACACCAATTTCATTTTGATTAACACTTAATTCGGTTGTAACTGGTTCCATTTTTGGTTGATTAGCAGGAAAGGATTTCGCATCTTTATACAATCCATCAACAGCAAGTTCATCAGTCATCATTTGTAAACTCTGTCCATCATCATTAATCACATTCTCCAACCAAGGATGACTAAACTCTTTGAAATGATCGGGATTCTTTCGGTAACAAGATCGACCATATTTACATATTTGACGAGGCATCTCAGCAAGAATATTGAAAATTGACACAACTAAACAATAAAATAGAAGAACAAAAAAACCATTACTATAGAACAATGAAAACAAGAAAAATGGAAAAGCAAAAATAACCAAAACTGATTAAGTGTTTACTTAAAATCAGCTGATTTCCAAGGCGGGAAATGTTACACAAAGAAAATGAGAGAAAATCAAATGATCAACTCGACGATTATTTAATCGTAGAATTTTAATTTAGTTTGGAAATTGGAAAAGAAAAAATCACAAATTATGTCAATAGTCAAGGGATAAAAATAAACTCAATTAAACACTTAACAATTAGAGTTAAATAACAACAATTAAAATTTTAGGAGAAATTGAAAAAAAAGTGTTAATCAAAATTAATCTCATTCTGATTAAAATCAATTCAAGAGATTATTTTGATTGTTTCAGTTTAATGGATAATCACCTAGTTGAAAGAGTTGAATTTAAAGGTTAAATTTGTTTGAATGTTAAACTAATTTGTATCTTCAATTGATTTAATTGTTTCTCTTTGATAAGAATTTAATTTAATATCAAATTTGATTTAATCTCTTTAGTTAATTTCTTTCTCACCAGATGGAGAATCGATTTTCTTTTCTTGAGTAATTGTATTTGTGGAAATGTTTAACTTTTTAAATCTCAATGAAAATATTTTTGATTGAGACAATTAACTGATTAACAATTAACAGTTTTCTTTAATTGTTCTCTATTTATGACAGAGGATCTTATCCATTTGATCAGCTTCTGGAGAGACATGATGAGTAAAGAGCCAAGGTTAGTAACAATTTAATTTCTTTCTCTCAATTCAAAATGTAAACACTTTTTCCTGGTTAATCATTTTTACTTCATTTTAACTGGTAAACAAATGACCTGATTTTTTTTTACCTTTTGGTTAACCATTTTGTTTTTTCATTGATTTAGATGAATAAATTGTTCATCATGATAATGAGTCCATTTTGTCAATAATGTTGAGTTAATTTTTTCTCCATTTTCTATTCTTCAGGAACATTTCAACCTCTACAGATTTTTCTCATGTTATCATGAGAATAACGTTAACATTATGTAGACGATTAACTATTGGTGTAAATATAAGGAAAAGACTTGTTGGTTATTTCGCTTTAATTGTGATTGGAGGTCTTTTCGGTGATTATCTGCCAAATTTTGTCTCTTCTGTTATCCCATTTCAAACAAGTAAACGAGGTTTTCTCAATCAATGGTTTGTAAAGATTGGCTGGTTTTGGACAATCATCTTATTGGGTCCGTTCATTCATATGACAAGTCAAATTTCATCAACAAAGGAATCGTCAAGCAAATCAGATTTACACCGTTCATATCATGAGAAATCTTTACGAGACGATTCATCTCCTTCGTCCAGGCCTTCATCTAGATCATCATCACATGTAAAAAGAGATTCAAATTCACCATTAATTGTTAAATTATGGATAACCTTAAGTAACAAAGATCTCCTTCGATTATGGGTTAATACTCTTTTCTGGTATCTATCAACAAGTGCCTTTACCTGGTTCGAATCAATAACAATCTCATGTAGCTCAGGTGAATTTTCAACCCAAGAAAGTTGTACCAAAAGTGGAAACAAATGGATTGGTTTCGATATTAGTGGACATACATTTATTTTACTCTTCTCTCTGTTGGTCATCATGGAAGAATGTTCAATAATGAAAGGCTGGGAACCTTTCGGTGAAAGATTATTCGCTGAGCAACAAAATCGCCAACGAACATTTCGACAAGATTATCCTCAACATGTAATTTACTCTAAATATAAAATTTATATTCGCTGTTTTTTCCTCGCCTTAACCGGACTCACCTTGATCTGGAACTTCATGCTCTTCCAAACGGCTCTTTTTTACCACACCACGTTACAGAAATTGATCGCTTACCTGTGGGCCGTTGGTCTTTGGTTCTTTGGATACAAATGTTTATACAACTCTAAATACTTTTCATCAGTTTTCAAAGTAGAGAATCAACCTCACCTTAAAGAATAAATTTCTTTAAATTGTTTTATATCACCAATTATAATCAATTTCCTATTCTTTTCTTTTCTTCCACAGAACGAAGCTGATTTATTCCCGGTCTCACTAATGTACTAATCTCTAGTTCTCTCTCTCATCTAATCATAATCTCTCTCTCTCTCTCTAAACTGCCAACATTTTGTATTTACGATTCAAGTTATCGTTGGCATTTATTGGCCTTTTCCAAAGATAATTCCCAGAGACGGTTAATTTTAATTGTAGGACAATTATAATTAGATAAACATCAATGTCAATGGAGAATCTGACCAGAAACAAGAAAGATAGTTTGTCAACATCTCTCAACCTAATTAAGTCTTTCACTTCTTAATTGAAAACACAATTATCTTGATTACGATAAATTACACACTCGATGATAATAATGTTGATTTACTAATCACAATCAACTCTTTGTTTACATACGTTTTAACTTTACTCTTTGATTTTCTCTGAGTCTGTGATTAATATCCTCATGTGATAGTCAACAATTAATGTATATATGTAATTATCTTCACCTAATCGAGTGAATTTTATATGAAAACAAAAACAAAGAGAAATCAATTGATTGTCCAACAAGTAAAACAGAAAAAAACAATGATTAGATTGACCTTAGATTGGGAATTGTATTCAATTGTAATTTTAATCTCCGGTTGGTAAACCTTAAACCCGAAGCAATTAACTCATGTTAATTGATTCATTCAGATTTCATCAAAAACTGTCAATAATCATTGGAAATCATTTCGTCGTATCCGTTTCATTAATTTCAATGAGTTCGTTATCGATCAAACTTATTAACGGTTTTCGATCAAGTATTTTCGTTGATGTGAAGTTTTTGATTATAAATCGTAAGCAAAAAAAAACAACCATTGAATCACAATGATTAAAGGTGATTTACTGTTTATATCTTAATCATTTGGAATAATACATTTACGTTGGAGATTAAGTTTGGAAATCGGATTATGAACAAAGAGGAGATTTTATCACAAAGTTGATTTGAGATGTAAAAAAGAGGTTGAAGTTGAAAAAAGACACAACAATTAACGAATCAACCGATCATCACCTCGTCGTCGTTTTAATATGAAAACAATTAACAGAACAGTTGTAGCGATCATACCAATAATACCGATTGCGATTCCCCAAACGGAGCCTCTTCTCAGTCCACTTTTGGGCTGCGTTTTCACGTCGATTGGTTTAATTTCGGTCGTTTTGTTTTCGCCGCTTTTTTCACTCGGCTTTTCTTCGGGTTCTTTGGGCTCATCAGGTTTTGGCTTCTCAGGTTCTTTTTCCTTCTCGGGCTCAGGTGCAGGGGCATCAGTTACGATTTCTACTTTTGTGGTCACCGCTGCTGTTGTTGTTGGGTCGGCGGTTAGGACATCAGATTCAATTTCATTAAGAATACCAATCAAAGATTCTGTAGTTGTTGGTTCGTTAGGATTTGTTACTTTGTCGGTCGATTGTTCGCAATTTATAGTTGATATTAAGAAAAGAAAACAAAAACTTTGAAAAGATTCATTTTGATTACACTAATTGAGACGAACTCCGAGTTAATTAATATTTCTTTCGAGTTTGTTGTTTATTGTACCAATTATGTCTTGGTAATGATTAGTTTTAATCACTTCTTTGATTGAACACCAACACAGCACTAGAACAATTTATCTCAATTCAAGATTTTTACGTCAACATTGTAATTAATCACAATCTTTGCTCTCTTGGTGTAAAATTAGATGAAAAGATAATAACGAATATATTTTTCTTCTTCTTCCATTTGATTCTCTGATAGTCGCCATTGGCAATCAATCGATAACCTTTCATTCAATACCAACAATTATGATTAGTGTATTTCTATAATTAGGGAAAAACAATTAATAGAGAAAATGAGTAATCATATTAAAAGAAAAAATTTTTATGCGATTTGATTACTTATCAATAAATTAGACTTCGTCCAAAAAAATGTTATTAATTGTCGAGTATTAATTATGGATCAATCTCATCAATTTCTTATTAGTTTGTCAACTCATCAATTAATGATTGACAATCAACCGATACAATTAGGATTATACTAAGTACAAAGGACAATCAATTAGATTTTATCAGATTATAATCACAATCTATTTACTTGATCATTTTCACCAATAACCTTAATTTACAATCGTTAACTAATTGTTGTTAATTTGAATTGTTTTCCGTTCAACCTTGGAAATTGTTATATAAGATCATCGAGTTAATTGTTTACTGATTATCTTATTTACTTTGTTTTTCTAATACCAATTAAACTTGTACATTAATTGTTTCCTCAACTTAATTGTCTAATTTAGTACAATAATTTAAACCAAAATTAGTGACAAAAAGTGATTTTTTCAAACATAATCACCTAATTGTCGTTGACATTGACTTACTTTGATTGTAAACTAAATTGAGAAGACAATTTAATCAAATCAACAACTAATCATCATTAATTGATCATCTTAACCCTGACCTTTAATTGTTATTATCCAAATAACTGAATTGATCAGAAATAAACAAATCTAATCATGACAATAGTTACAATAAATGATCAACAATTAACCATAACCAATTTCCGTCTGATGATTTAATATATTGATTGATTGATTTGATTACAATGCACAATGAAATTTATTACAATTAACTAATTAATTATCATAAGGATGAAACCTCTTAGTAATAAACAAATTGATTGTTAATTGTGCAAAGGAAAAGCCAATAAACTTGATTGTTGCCATTTCTTTTCACTGACCATTGGTAATAACAATTTACCCGAAAAATGAAATGACCATTGCGTTGATTAAGTTGATTACAATGTTAAATTGTGATTAAGATGATAAAGGAAACCAGAAAACTGGCTTAACTATTGACTATTAAATCAAATTATTCAAGGTGGTTTGGTTTTCATTTAGTAATTGTTTGTTACAGGATAAACTTTAATTTCTGTTCAATGTTTGTTTCTTGTTACAATCAACGTTAATTTAAATCACTGATCATTAATCGCTGTGTGAAAATATTGATTCCAATTGTTGCTAAATTGTTACCATGTTAAATGGTTACTATATTTATTTAATTACTACAATTGTTTTAATTGTCGGTATGTAATTGATTAATTTATTTCTCATTTCCTTCCTTGCTACTTTAATAATGATACGATAATAATAATTAATAAATTGTTTTTGTCTAATCAACTAATCAACTAATCAACCTCATCTCTTAATTTTAATAGTTAACTAACATTTGTTTAATTGTTCAATGTTCATTTCATCATAGTAATCAAATAAGCCTTTGATTTGATTGTAAACTAATTAAAATCAACTCGTATTGGATAAAGTTATTAGTTAATTAAACGTCAACCTTAATTGAGATGATTTTAATTGTGATTATTACTTAATCAATGTGACATTATTTAATCATTATCACCTTGAAATATTGATTTATACTTTGTCTGAGTGTTTAAGGTTAAGATTAATTAAGTTAATCCATTTGCTATTGATTTAATTATCATAAAGAAACCCAAAAATCTCAGTACGATTTCACTTGATTATTGATCACAATTAAATCAAGAATTAGTTAGCAATCAATTTAGTAATTCAATTATCTAATAGTTGACTAACAAATCAAGTTAAATTGATTTGATGCGTTGACAATTTATAGTTATGTTATTAAAGTATTAGATTGATTAACAATATTTGTAATAAACTGCGATTAATTGATTTAATTGCTTCTAATTAAATCAAGGATCAAAGGATATTATTGATTAAGATTAAGCTCATTAGATTAAAGATGTTCAAGGGTGAACAATTAATAGATTTATATCAAGACAATTAGTTAATCATGGATTAGAACCGATTTGTAATAGAAAGTTAATCTCGAAAAAATTTCTCAACTGATTAAGATTAATTTAGATATTCAATCAATAGTCAATTAAATGATGAATAACATAAAAATAACTCGTTAATTTAATCGTTGACTTAAATTACTTTGATTCTTTCTTTTCCAATGGTGTTAACAGTTAATTGTGATCCACTAGATGATTTAGGAAACTCGTTGAAAAGGTTAACAATTAATGTTGAACAAATTGTGAATCGAGTTAAAACACGAACAGGAATTCGTAATTTGGTTCATTGTATTAGACCCAGAAGACGAACCGCTAATAAGGAGATCGTAATTGCCGCTTGTAAAATCGAATCAGCGATAAATGCACTTAGATTAACAATCGCCTCAGCGAGGGAATCGTCGAAGACTGAATTAATTGAACTCGCTCAGGAACAAGCAGATGAACTCGATATGTTAATCAATATCATTGAAGCGATTCTCAACTTCTAACAATCAACAGTAATACAATTGAGAAAATAATTATTGTATTTTTCAATGGTAAATATTTTCATCCTTTATATGCAAATAAAGCCAATTTTTCATTGCCAAATCAATTAAATGTTTAATTAATGAGAAACATTGACTTAAATTAACTGATTCTGTAAAAATAACAGTAACTCGATAACAATTATTTTTCTTTTTGATTTAAATCAGCGATTTACACATATAAGGACCTTCCAATTCATAGCCAAGTTTCCTGTAGTAGTTTCTTGTTCCAACTCCTAATTAAAGACAAAACAATTAAATCAATAAATTTGTTTGACAATTTGGTTAACAATATAGTAAAATACCTGAGATAACTGCAATTTTAGTCGATCCGTGCTCTTCCAGGGCGATTCTTTCAGCTTCTTCCATCAAAAGCATTCCAAAGCCTTGATGCTGAAATTTGGTCGGATCTTTACCGCTGATCGGGACGACGCTCCCATAGACGTGTAACTCTCGGACGATTGAACAGCAACCCTGTAATTCTGGGCGAAATGTATCTGGTGAACAATTTCTCAATCTAAGGAGGCCAATTAAGATGTCTTGTTGAACATCTTCATATGCAAGGAATGTCTCCCAACCGCTATTTGCAACATAGTCCCGACGAACGAGCTCAACTTGATAGGGTTTAATTTTATGATGAATTTCTTGTATGCCCACTTCACGTGTTCTTATATCTCGACATGATGTCCCATAATCGGCCATTCTGGCTAAGGCCAGTTCTCTTATATTACCATGTTCAACTCCTGATGAAACTAAAGGCATTGGGATATCGCGTTGAACTCGATAAATACGAGTCCATGGAGGAACTAGAGCCAATACTTGAGCTAGAAAATCGACTAAAACATTGGGCGGATAACTGCGATAACGACCTGTTTTCCAAAGTTCATAGAGTCCTGTTCCTCGAATCACCAGGGTTGGATAAATTTTTAATCCATCGGCTCGGAAGTCCGGGTTTGCAAAGAATTCTACAAATTGTTCGAGATCTCTTTCTAGGTCGACATTGGGTAAATTTGGCATCATGTGGGCGACAATCTTGAAGCCACAATCTTTGGCGAATTTGAAAGTTTCTTTAACGGCCTTAACGGTGTGGCCTCTATTTGTATCACGAGCTACATCTTCATAAACTGATTGTACACCAATTTCAAGTCTGGTACATCCATAGGCTAACATGTCACTTAAATGTCGATTTAAACAATAATCAGGTCTTGTTTCGATAGTTATGCCAATGCACTTTGTCCTTGATTTTTCGCTGAATTTAACAGCTTCAGCAACCGATGAGCTTGTATTTCCCGAAAGAGCATCATGTAAATTTCTAATAAAATAGTCTCGATAATCTTCAGGTAGTGACATGAAAGTACCTCCCATAACAATGAATTCAACTTTATCGATATCATGTCCAAGTTGTTTCAACTGGTCCAATCTATTACGTGTTTGAACAAAAGGATTATAATGAGCTCTAATCGCTCTCATTGAGGTCGGTTCATAGCCAGTGTATGATTGAGTTGAGTATTCAAAGTCAGAATCTGGACCACCAGGACAATATACACAAATATTACCTAAAGAAAGGAAAAAGAGAAAGTATAAAAATTAGAAAATCTTACACAACCAGATTAACGAGAATTTCATGTCAATTACTAATAGATTGCCTGCAAATCTAATCAAATGAACTAATTACCAGTCATGTTGATGTGAGGGCATCGATGAGGCTTTGACATTACCGCAACTACAACAATTCCACTGGCAGTTCGTATTGGTTTAGCCCTTAATTTAGGTAACAATATTTTCTTATGCTCTTGAGGTACACCAGCAATAATATCAACCAATTTTGGTTGATTTTCCAGTCCATACTTTCGAGATATTTCACATTTAAGTTTAGTTAAATTAACATCTTTACATTCCTCATGAGCCTTAATCAAATGTTGAATAATCTCATTAATTGTCACAACCATTAACTGTTGCTTAGTTAAACCATTATCTAAACAACAAAGAAAAGAAAAGAAAAGAAAAAATCATTGAGATTAATTAAAACGAAGAGACAAAAAAAAACACTAACACAACAAAACGAATTAAACAAAACTCTAACCAATAATTTCTTACTTTTCTTCGGTTTCGCCATAATAATTCCAAAAGTAGTAATTAAAACAAAGACAATTAACAAAAGAAAAAAAGAAAACTACAAAAACAAATCAAATTAATTTTAATAGAAAAAAGAAAAACAATTAAAATTAAACAACAAAAATAGAAAAAAACAAAAAATGTAACATGCGAAATTCTATTTGAAAATATGAACAAGAGATGGCGCTCGAAGATGCGAATATAGATAAAGGGGATAATTGATACTCGATGTTTATTTCTTGTTTATTTTGATTTTCAAGTTTTCTTTTTGTTTCTCTATTTGTTTTAATTAACCAGTTACGATATTATTATTTTATCAATTATGGGAGTTGATCTAACTGGTAACAATAAACCTTGGGAGTTAAGTTTATATGAACTTAATCGGAAACCTCAACCGCTAATAACAGATGACAGTGAAATCGCCGTTAAACCAAGAAGCTTGCAAAGTGAGCTAATGTGCCCAATATGTTTGGACATGTTAAAAGCGACAATGACAACAAAAGAGTGTCTTCATAGATTTTGTCAAGAATGTATTACAACCGCCCTTCGAAGTGGTAATAAAGAATGTCCAACCTGTCGGAAGAAACTTGTCTCTAGGCGATCATTAAGACCTGATCCAAATTTTGATATGCTTATATCAAAAATTTATCCAAGTCGAGAAGATTATGAGAAAAATCAAGAGGTTATTGGATACAAAGAGAATACAAGTCGACGAAATAATAGAGCAAATAGATCAGCTTCTAATCAGGGTAAGCTTTTTCTATTCTATTCTTTTATTTTTGTTCTATTCTATTTTATTCTATTTTATTCTATTCTCCTCTTTGTTTTTCTTTTATTTGTTTATTGTTTATTTCTTTATTTAGATTCATCTACGGCATCTTGTGAAACCAACAACAATCATCATGTTATTCAACAACCCGAAATCGAACTGGTCTTCAAACCTCTTACCCAAGGAAGTCCTGATGATAATGTGATCCATACTCGTTTTCTTAAAACTACAACAAATGCCACCATTGACCATTTAATTAAATATCTTTCTATGAGACATTTCTTGGAAACAAATCCCAATAATTGTGACAATAATCAAGAGCTAGACACTTCTATATTTACCATTTATGTGGCCGCTGGACCCGGTGAATTTCAACCTTTACTTGGACAAACTACTTTGGATCAAGTGAATGAAAAATTTTGGAGACACAACAAACCCTTAGAGTTATATTATGCTTATAAAATGTCTCAACCATGATCCTCCCCAATCTAATTTTGGTACCGAATATTTTTGGTTTAATCGTTTAATCATTTCTTTTTTTACAATGATAACACTCAGTAAATACGAGAAATTGAATGGTCACACTTCGCGAATCGTGAGCATTTGTTAAATAATGTCCCGATATTTATGTCATCAACTGACTATTATAAGACTGGAAAGTTGAAAATAAAAACAAATCATTTCATTTTGTATTCATTCAACTTTTCTATCAATCTGACCAACCAATCAAACAATTTACTCAATTGTATCTAATTCTGCAAATTAACGAGACGAAAACAAAGCTTAACCACCAAACAAAAGCGAAATCAATTAACTCAACATCTCATTGAACAATTAAGTGAATCATATTCCCGCCTCAAGAACATCAGAGATAAAGTTAATCATTTGGTCGTTTTTCAAAAATTTTCTCCACCAATTTTCGAGAAATATAAATTGAATTCATTAATACAATTGTTCAATGTAATGAACAATTAATTTCAATGAAATTCGATGATTCGATCGAGTGTATTATCTAACCAGTGATTAGAACCATTTCAAAGGAATCAAGTTCGATGAGTTCAAGACCCAAGACAAAAGTACTTTAAATCCTTAATCCATCAGATTAGCGATCAGAAATTTGATTACATTGTACCTGAATCATTTCTTCATTTGAATTAATTGTCCAAAACAATCAAAAGTGAAGCTCAATTTGGTCAAGCTTTTTCACACTAATCGACATTTAAGCTTTTAATCATTGCCAGTAATTGCAAATCAAAAGACTCACCAATTAGTCCTTTGAGTGTTAATTGCACTTGGAATAATTTTGAAAAATCATTTGGTAATTGCAACAATTTAATATTCAATTAAATTTGCATTCAAAAGGAAACATACAAAGGTGATTAAGATGAAAAAAATTATCTTGTTTACAAAAGGAATACAATTGTTATGATACACATCAATTGTAATTAGTAAATTGTTGTGATAGTTATTGAAATTGATTCGATGAGATCGATAATTAAAAAAATATCATCAAGTTGATTGTATTTCTGATAAACAGAAAATGTTAATTAACAGTGGAATTAATTTTTTTACCAGAATAAACAAAATACAAATTGTACAACATAATCAAGAATCAAATGATTGTCTAAATTAACCTTAATGTTGATCAATGAACTGGATTAATTTGGATTACAACTGATCTCAAGGAGATGTTATCAATTTTCAACATTAATTGTCAATTAACAAAAATAAATTGATTAAAATCAAAGAGTATCCAAAAGGATTGATAAAAAAATCACTCATTTGATTTTAAAAAAAAAAGTGTAATTTAAATTTTAAATCACAGTCAAAATAATTACAATGAGATAGGATGATGATTATGATTGGCTTTGATTGTAAAAACTAATTGCAATTAAGCATTCAAAGTGATTGTACTTTGACCAATTGGATTATCTTTAACATAACTTGGATTATCAATTCCTGATTTAACATCATCATCTCCGCCGCTGATTGAAGGTGTGATATCGGCTGATCGTGATTTCCGACGAGCTGATTGTTCAACGATGAAAAATGTCACCGATCCAATGATCGCTGTGCTAACCATTATGTAGACCTGATAATTTAAGGTCACTTTACTGGTGAAGAAGAAAAATATCGACGAAAACAAGGATTGGACAAACTTGAAGATCGCGAAAGCCGGAGCGGAATTAGACTCATAGAAACTTCCGATCTGTGAATAGATCTGAGTGTTCATACAAGCATCGCCGAGTCCAAGGAGAAAACTACAGATCAAAGCCAAAGGAATACTAATGATTGAAAGAAAAAGAGACAAATAATCAATTAGAACATCCAATCGAAAATGTTCAATCTCGACATTAGAACTCGAGATGGTGTCGAGTTAATTGTTCTAATACCTTGTTGTGATGATTGAAGAATCGTCTGTATCACCCAAATTGGCACTAAAAGGTAGATTAATGAATATACCAGCATAAGCAGCGACGTGTAAAATTAAGCCCAAGAAAACAATCGGATCTCGACCTAATTTGGCTGTTTTTTTACCGAAGATACCAAAAACCCCACCGCCGATAGTTTCACCAAGACCTAAGATCAAAAAATTTACAAATTATTATCATTAGATCAACAATTCATCGTCCCAACTAAACGCTGAATCTAATTGAATTACCGTACCAATTAAACAACCAGCAATTCCCACAAATTTTTTCCTATCATCTCCAATTGCTTTGGTAAATCCAATTGAATTGACATAAACTCCAGTAATAAATGATTGAGCGATTCCTAAATTAACAATGATGCAATTAATTCAAGTTAATCATCTACAAATAATATTCAATAATAATACTAACCAGTATAAGCGAAAGTGAAAAACATTAAAAGCATCGCTCGCGTTTTGAATAACGCAAATGAATCAACTATTTAAGGGGAAAAATTAAAGTAAAGTAATTAAATTAAGGTAAAATTAGAATTACATGTTAATAGCTTTCTATTAAATGGTCGAGTTAATCAATTCATCTTACAAAGAGCTTGAACAGGGCCAGCGGGCTTTTCGGAACTTTCTGATTTAGGAAAAGTTCTCAGTGCAAACATTAGGATAGTTCCAGCGATTCCAGCCGCAAGAAGGCCAGAATAAGTGGTCTGACGGGTTTTAGCGTCAATCACGTCTTTGAATTGGAATGAGACGAAAATGTTTCCAAAAATAAGACTCCCTTGGAATAGAGCCCAAAATACCCCACTATTACGGCCGATTGTTGTTTGATTAGAGTTTAATGTTAGAAAATTGCCTTGGGCGGTCCAGATAACTGAATGGAAAAATTAACAGGGAAAATGATGATTAGTCTCAAGCTTAATTACTAAATCAAAATAATCAACTTACGAGCAGCACCAAGACCAAGAGTTGCTGAGGCGGCCGATAATGTCCACCAAAGGGGATACAAGAAGGAACCAATATATAAACTGTTACAATTAAGAGACAATCGTAACAATTAATTTTTTATCCCATGTTAATTATCCATTAATCTGTTTTCTAATTATCAACAATTTAATCATCAATATCATGCTTGGTTTTTGGGAAAATTATAATCAATGATAATTGTTTAGTGACATAGTTTTTTGTTTCATTATCAGTTGATTGTTTTTCATTTGGGAAAATCAAAGAATTAATTAATTGTTAAAGTGTTGTGATTTTGGGTTTGATTAACTTCACCTATTAACTATGTAATTAACTGATTGTCCTCGATAGACAACAGACAAAACTATTCCAATCTAGATATTAATCTAATTGTTGATTTAGATCAACAAATTGTAAGCAAATCAATCATCAAGTAATAATAATATTGAACAAAGTGATACAAACGATCAATGAATAAAATAACAATTAGTTGAAAGTAAAAGTGATTAGTTGATTGTTGTCTCTCTTTGGTTATATCAAAGGCAAGGTAATCAACAAGAAACTAGTTGTTAGATGTGTAATTAATCATAATTAGTTGATTATCATAATGAAAAGATTAATTTAATTACATGATCCAGTAAAAAGTAACTCTGGAAATCTAAGTGATTAAGAAACTAATTTAATTGGACTTAAGATTAACCCCATTGGAGATAAAAGTAATAATTACATCTTAGAAATTTGGATTTAATTGTAACAATTAGGGATGATTAACCTTGAGAAAATTGGGCGTCATTTTGATTAGCAACAATCGTAGTTAATTTCGTTTAATTGTTTGGATCTCATCAAGTAAATTGTAATTTGTATTAAATAATCAACATGATTTTCTAGGGTTAATCTTGATTGGGAAACAAGAGTGACTTCAAATGATTAACTTATCGGAATCAGGGAACTCAGGTAATCAGTTGATTATCAAGGTGAACGTTAATTATTAACTGATTTACTCTGAGGAAGTGTCAATATTTTCATCTGATTGGTTAACTAAATTTAATTTTCTAAACAATTAGTTTCCTTTACAACTATTGGACCATTTAGTTAATCAATATTCAAATTGTGACAACGTTAAAAAACCAATCAACTCAGTAATTGTAACAATTAACTCACAGAAAATTGATAAATATTCAAAAATTAGGGTTAACAATGTAAACTTGACTAATCATTGATTACTTTGTTAACTAAATCACTGAATTAGTGATTAACTTTTAGATTGAAATCTAACTACAACCAAGAAGATACAATCAATAACTAAGAATAAGTTTTTTGTTTGTCAAAAATTTTCATCCAAAAAACGTATTGAAAAAAACGTTGATTGTACCGATTAAATAATCAACAATTAACTTGTACCAACAAGTAATTAATCGTGATTGTATCAGTAATAAAAACAATTAATGGCAAAATCAAATCCAATACATGATTGGAATACAAAAAAAGTGATTGATTCAAAGTCAAGTTCATAAGATTTTAAAAGTAGATCAACAATCAAATCTAATCACCTCCAAAATCAACGACAATTTAAAGTACAGTCTCTGAATTATGAAATCTATGGCTGATAAATCATCACAATTAACTTTGTGACATTTAAAAATCTCATATAAATAAGTTAATTAAATATAAAAAAAAAGTTAGTTGTGGTTGTTTATTAAATCATTGAGACGAAAACAATTTAACACCATAACAATTAACGAGTGATGATTAGATTGTCAACTGATAGAAAGAGAAAAAATTAAGCTCATTTTGAGAGAGATAGAAAGTTAATCAACTGTCAACAATTTAATAAATCGTAAATTGCACAGGTGAATTAAATTGAATTTACTAATTGTTTGGTGGTGAAAAAATGAAACATTTACGGAAAGATGAACATTAAAGTAATCAAAGTAAACGAGAAGTTGTAATTGTGAATTAGAGGGTAAATTAAATGGTCCGGAAATTGTTGAAAAACAATCAAATAAATTGTCACCAATAAATGGACTAAAAGTCTTAATGATTAGATTTTCGTCTAATCATAATAAAAACAAACTTCTAACAATTAAATCTTCCCTATTTCTTTGTTTCTTTTCGTACTGTTAATTGTTACGCTGATTAAGACAAATGAGTGAAAAAAACGAGGATAAGAAAAAGTTTTTTTTTTACTTAACCAACTTAATCACAATCGACTTTGATTTTGTCACAATCAATAATCACAACAATTAAGATCAACTTAAAGACAACAGTTAATGTTGTTGTTGTTGTTACTTTTTTACCCTTAAAGTTTTACAATTTGTTTGATATTATTATTTTTGTGGTTTGAAACAACAATCAATAATCATTATCATTATTGATTGTCGCAGTTGATTGTGATTAGTTGATAGTGAGAATAAGATGAATTGAAAAGTTCATTGAAATAGATTGGGAAAAGTTTTAAAGATTTAGAGGGATAAAGGAAAAAAAGAGAGAAAAATTCAGATTAAATTGTCAACTACTGTTGAATAACTGTTGACAATATGGTCAATTGGTGTTGAATTTTTGGCGTTAATTGTTGTGGTTAATTGATTCTCTTACCAATAAATAAACGCAGCGATGATCATTGAAGTTTTAGGTCCAAAAATCGCGACCATCGAAGGCGCAATCCAGTTCGCTATGGAAAAGACTAGATAAACAATGGACAATGAAGTATATCCACTCCATTGATGACCATTCCAATCCTTTATGTGCTCTTCGTTAATCCCTTTGACCACAGTTTCCTTTAACAATTAAGGTGATTAATTAGGATTATGAGGGTTGGATTGATAAAGAAAACTCAGTTCAATTCTTACCTGAATCATTCCTCCTGTTTGGAAGGCTGTGAATAGCAGTAGAAAGGATAATCCAAGGATTAAGATGTTGATGAAATTTTTATCCATTTTTGATTGTGATCGGCTAATTGTTGGGATTAATGGATCAGTGGGTGAATCTGAATCACTTGCTAGAGTTGTTAATAGGGATGAATAATGATCACGAGCGGTGACAAATGTTCCTGATGAAGATGATAATGTTGATTGTGATGATAATGGAGACGATGATTGATCTAATTGTGATGTACCAGGAATCGGTTCGTAATGATAATTTTCCTGATTGGATAGTGAATTGTTTTTCCGTCGAGATCGTTGATACACTGTTGATGATTCAATTAAAACAATTAATTAGTTAATTCACTTGGAGAAAAAAAAATTAGAAATTAAAAGGTGAGATCTTTGGGTTAACAGCAATTAGTTAATTTTGTTGCGTTCAAATGAAATTGAAAAGTTAATCCATTGGTAGTGAGAAAATGAAACTAAATTATAAACATAATTAATTGTATTGATCAAGATTAAAGACAGAAATTGATGTTAATTGTGATTCAAATAGCGACAATTTAAAAAGGTGAGAGGATCAAATTAAACAACAATACGAATTGTTGTAAGAAAGTGAAGGAAAAAGTGGAAATGATTTATAATTATAATTTCCAAGTTGACAATTTAGTTGATTGTTCAAATGTTTAGTCGCCATCTATTGGTTCTGATTGTTGATTTAATTGTCACAATCAAAGGTGATATCTAAAGCAAAGAGACACAATTAGCTGACAAATGTATCACGATTAAATATTGATCAGGATAATTAGGATGAGATTGGAAAATACTGAAACTAATTAATGGTAATTAAATCACAGTAAAGTAATTAAACAATTGTTACACTGATTTAATTTAGAAGCAGATTTTCAGCAATTAAATTATTGATTCCCATTGATTAGCTCTTCTTAATCACACAATTAACAATTGATTGAAAAATAATCACCTGGAAAGTTAATTGTTGACAAGTTAAATTGTTGTTTTCGTTAATCATTTTTGACAATCAATTGGGAATTTATTTCCAACTATTTTTAGTATGATAGTTCATTGGATTTGTTTACTTTGAATTGTAACAATCAGTTGATTAATTGGATGATTATTCAATTAATCGGTAGTTTTTTTAATTCACTAATCAAGGTTAATTAATTGACTTTACCCATTGATTAAATTAATGGTAATTTTCCCAGTTAAAAGTGATTAATGAAAATTTATTTTTACAATTAGATTCAACTGATCAATTTGATAAAGTTAATTGTTTACATTAATCAAACCTGTGGGTTAATTGTCAATCTTTTCGTTATGACTATAACCTAAAATTGATCACAATTAGTTAACAATTAAAAGTAATTTTCATTAATCATAAATAACAACTTTGGTTAATATCTAATTGTATCGGAATTACCGGATTTCCGTGATTAGCAATTTAAATTAAGATTATTGAGATTGTGAAATTGATTTGATTTACATATTAGAGTAATAATCCTTTACTTGTTAATTGCTTGGAGGTTCAAGGTTTTCGGTAAAAACCATTTGATTAGGTCAAAATTAATTGTAACAATTAATTTGGGAAAACTTCCGTCAACACTTTTTTCTGCCTTCACAATCAAGATGATTGTATTAATATCTTTACAATTAACATGTCATGTTAGTTGTTTAACTTTGCGTTTCTTTTGCTGATTCCCGTTGATTGTTGAAAAATTAACGAAGCTCTTGATTGTTATTGATTTAATTATCTCCACGGTGATGATGAGGTGTCACAATTTTTACAGTTTTATCACTGTAACAGGATCAGGAAAACTTTCACCTTTCTTCAAGTCTCATTTTAATTGTCACCCTGATCCAGTTTCTAGGTTTATGTCCTTGACCATTAACATGACTCAGGATTAACTAATTTTATGAGACTATTGATTAGCAACAATCTAAAATGATTGACAATCTATTTTCATCCTCTATCCACATCAAAATGAATCCAAGACATAATTAGTCGCTTCTCTGTTGATTATAAGGTAAATTTTTCACTAAATCATATCAGATGAAAACAGCTCTTCAAATAAGATGAGTAAATAAATTATCTTTCAGCTTTTAACCAAAAATGATAAACGGCTCAATCATACCAACTACAGTCGATAGCTAAACTACTGTAGGCGTTTAAAGACATGTATAATTAGCAACAATTTCCATCAATTATATTCAATATTGATAAAAAAAACGACCATAACGGAAGCCATTAACGAATCAACTAACAGCGAGCAAAATTGTGGTGATAAAAAAACGCTGAAGACTAGAATTCAAATCAAGTTGGATGTGTCAAATTAAACAAATTGTTTACTTTTGTCCACACTGGTATCCACTGCTTGTCTCTTGAATAAATTATATCAAATATCAGCCTGAAAATCTGATTCCTTGGTGAACTTTAATTGTCCAGATTGAAAGATCTAAAGAGAGAAAAAAACAAAAAAAGAGTTACCATTTAGGGCGTTGGTCAACATAGAGAGAAAAACAATTGATAGAAAAGTAAATGTAACTCTACTCACCTAAAAAAAGAACATCTTAAACCTCAAAACTAATCCGCATAATTAAATTAATTAAGAATAAAAAATTAAATCATTGAAAAGATTAAACAAAAAACAACAAGAAAACCATATGATAGAAAAAAAAATTAATTCTAAATAAATTAAATTCTAAAAGAATAAATCGATTTCATTCGATTGATCGATAAAAAGAAAGAAAAAAAGAAAGAAAAAGATTTTCATCAATCGATCTAAATGTCTGATATTCCAAATCGAAAATCGATCAAAAACTCTAAAGCGAACACGTGACACGGGTAATAACCAGATTGAATCCGCTTTCGCTTTGTCAATAACCGTCGTCTTCTGGGAAGACTTGAAGTGATTTTTTATTGTCTTTTTAATTAAACTTAACCTGTTTGATTAAATCAACAATTAGGTTTTTTTAATAGTTAGTTAATTGTTTGGTGAATTGATCATGTCAGAGGGTTCAGATGAGACCGAAACATGTAAGTATCTTAATATTTATCATTGAATTCATTTGATGAGAAAAATTTTCCTTTTTCTTTGTTTACTTTTTATTTTTCTTGTTCTCGTGTTTTTGTTTTCAATTTTCAACTAATTTCTTGTCTTTTTCAAATCTAAATGAAAATTATTCTATTATGATTGGTGAACAGGTTAATTAGATTACTCTTTGTATCATGTTGATCCTTAAATTCTTTATTAGTTTATAATTTTCAAGAGAAATTGTCGCCATCTAAATGGTAAATGATGAGAAATGTTTCTTTCCAATATCGATCTTACTTTTTGTTAGCCCTGGGGAAGGAAAAGAAAAAAAGTTGATACCATTTGGAGAACTCGTTGTTTATTAAGTTCTAGTATTTCATTGGTTCTTTTCTATAATTTGATGACAACAAAGTGTAGAATCTCAAGAAAAAAGAATAGAAAATTTTCAACTTATTTAATGTTCTTTCTTTTTCTATATGTATTTAAATAGGTAAATCACATCTCCGTTCCAACATGATGGATATTGATACACCAAAGGCTATCGATGAATCCAGCAACTCCTCCATCAATATATTAGAAGCCATTAGAAATGGTGATCCTGATTTAACGGTCATTGCCAGTGAACTTCAACGGATTGTCCATAAAGAATGGGTTAAAACTCGAGCCAAAACCAGATATAGACGGAAAGATGTGATAAAAAATTGTTACATTAACAATCGTAAAGAGTTGATTCGTTTACATTCATCAAATCCTGAACAATCATTTTCGGTTAATTATAAATTTCCAAGTTATGAGAATCCTTCCATGATATCAAAGAAATTAAGGATTACAGGTAGTGATAATAAGAAGAGTAATGTTACTATTAAACAGATACACTTTTTAAAATCAATACCAACCATGTTCACTTGGGCTCCAATCCAGCAAAATTATCTTGTTGAAGATGAACAAGAGCTTCACAATATTCCTTATCTTGGTGATGAAGTAATTGACAATGAGAACAATTTTATCGTCGATCTGTTAAATAACTACAATGGTAAAGTCCACGGAGATGGAGAGGGTAACAACTTTGAAGATGAACCCTTTTTCGAGATGGTTGACAATTTATCTCAAAAAATGGATGTTATTGAATCAATGGAACCCTTACTAAAGGAAGTCCGTTCTCTTAAACCCTCTACCCTTGGAGGTAAGTTATTCACTCATCCACTCTATTTATATATCTCTCTTAAATTTGCTAATCATTTATCGATTTTAATTTAAAATTAAAACAGAAAAAGAGAGAGAGTATCCACCATTCAAGGTATTTGAAGCTATTTCGTTTGCATTCCCAGAAAGAGGTTCACCCGAAGAGCTCCGATTAAAGTAAGTACTTCGTACACTCTTATTGTGTTTTCATTTCGATTTTATTACTAATCATTATCTATGATTCGTATTATTTATCCAGGTATCTCGATATTATGAGAAGGAAAGATCGAATTCGTATCATGCCGTTAGAATCTACTCCAAATATTGATGGTTCCAATGCCGTTTCCACATCTCGTGAACAAACTATGCACTCTTTTCATACTCTATTCTGTCGTCGTTGTTTTAAATATGATTGTTTTACTCATCGTAAGTTTCAAATCAATTAATTTTCAACTTATGACTTACTATTAACTGACTAATGTTTATATCTTTTGGTGTATTTACAGAGGTAGGATCAGTTAAACCAAGATGTCGCTATACTAAAATGAAACCTGATACTGTTATTTGTGGAGATGATTGTTATATGCACTTTGAGTCCGTTAAATTGAAATTAATACAAGAAAAGGAAGATGAAAATCGACAACAAGATCAACAACCTGAAAGGCAAATAGGGAAAATTTTTCCAGTTGATTGCAATGGAAGCAGTGGTAATGATGCCAGTAGTGAAGATAGTAATGATAGCGCTGCCTCTATTAAGATGAGAAAAGGTCCTAATCATATGATTAATTGTCGAAGCAATTCTGAAACTCGAAGAATTAGAGGTCGAAGTTATTCATCTTTGTCCAGTGAGGGTCAAGAAGTTAATGGAAAACCAGAGTTTGAAAAGAAAACGATAAATCATATTAACGGAATAGAACCAATTACAGAATGCAAGACATATGTGAACGGAAAAACTAAAGAAGAAATCAGTTCAATGAAAACCGATTCGGGTGCCTTAAATAAAACCAATGCAGATAATAAACTTTCACCGGAAATTATGGGTAACTGGACTGGAGCCGAAAAATCACTATTTCGTGCTTTATGGAATGCCTATTATAAGAATTATTGTGCCATAGCCGAGGCCATATACACGAAAACTTGTGCTCAAGTTTATATTTTTGCTCAACAAAAATGGGAAGAATTTGTGGTCGATGAAGTGACCAAGGAAATTGTTCCTCCTCGAAAGAAAAAGAAAAAGAGTAATGTCAACAAGAATAGAAATCCATACAAAAAGAATAGTCGACCCACTGCCAATGTGGATAATTACGTTCCATGTGACCATCCTGGTCAACCTTGTGATAGTAGATGTGCCTGTGTTGGTACAAACAATTTCTGTGAAAAATATTGTAATTGTAGTCTTGAATGTCCACAGCGATTCCCTGGTTGCCGATGTAAAGGACAATGTGACGTTAACAAGTGTCCCTGTTTCAATGCAATTCGTGAATGTGATCCAGATTTGTGTCTACACTGTGGAGCTGATTCATTTGAAGAACCATCAATCACGTGTAGAAATGTTTCCATTCAAAGAGGAATGAAGAAACATTTACTACTCGCACTTTCCGATGTCGAAGGATGGGGAATATTTTTAAAAGATTCTGCACAAAAGAATGAACTTATCTCAGAATATTGTGGTGAAATAATATCTCAAGATGAAGCTGATCGTCGTGGTAAAGTCTATGATAAATATAATCGAAGTTTCTTATTTAATTTGAACAATGAGTTCGTCGTGGATGCAACAAGGAAAGGAAATAAAATTCGATTCGCCAATCATTCAGTTAATCCCAATTGTTATGCCAAAGTAATGATGGTAAATGGTGATCATCGTATTGGTATATTTGCCAGAAGAAACATTGAACCAGGCGAAGAATTATTCTTCGATTATAGATATGGATTAAGTGAACAATTAAAATTCGTTGGAATTGAACGTGACCTAACCTTCGTGTAAACAACAACAACAACAAAACTCAATTACGAATTTAAATGATCGCCACACTAATCAATTAATCTTCAAGTCAATTTGAAGTCAATTATATGATCAAAGTGATTCTTAAAACAATACAAAACAAAACAAAAACCACCCTTAATTGTGATCTCGCAAACCGCCAGTTAAATTTTGTGTTCAAACAAAAAACAAATCGTATAATTGCAAAAATACAAAACATAATCTGTACCAATCTTAAATTGTCAACAATTTAAATGATACTTTTCATCATCGCCAATTATTGGACATCAATCACAATCAACAAACAAATGAGCCTTAAAAAAGCAAACTTTTTCATAGAGAAAACAAATATAACCTCAAAGCTTGAATATGGATCAAGAAATCACAATTAGCTAATTATCATCCTGACCTTGATTGATATCCTTAAAATCATCGTCTCTCCCTCTCCATCTCCCTCTCTATTTCTATCATCTCTATCAAATATCATCATAATCAACATCACAATTTGATGTGACAGACGAAAACAAAACAATCCAAGTTGATAATAACATTGATTTCCATGTTTATAATTACTGCCACAAGCGGATTTTTTTTATTACAATTATTATAATCTTTGATTGTATAACAATTTTTTTTTCATTTACTACATTGTATAATTATTATTTATATTAACAGCCTTTTTGTAAATTGTTAGACAAGCAAATTCAACACCATCAACAATCAATGACAATTAACTGTTAACAATACATCTCATGCTGTTGAAATGAAACAATTAAAAAACTGAAGCAAAATTTTCATATCTTTAAGCTGTTATTATTTATACATCATTGTGATTGAGAAAATTACAGTTAATAAGAAATACAATTAATCTCTATTAGTGATTTTCTCATACACCAATTAGTAAATTACAATTTTAATCACAGTAGATTGAAATTAAGTTTGAAATTGCGACAATTTAAAGATTAACAGTACATTTGATGTGTGTCAATGATTAAGGAACAAATTTACAGAGAGAGAGAGAGAGAGAAAGAGAGAAAGTAGAAAAGAAGATGAAAACAATTAAAAGTAATTGTGAATAATTAAGAATTGACTAGTCAACTATCACAATCAAATGCTGAATTAACTTTTCCTTGATTAATTGTAACAATTGAAGGTGCGGATGGAGGAAGTTGACTAAATGATGACGATGATGATGAATGATGATTTTGAGCATTAATTGTTGTCGTTGATTGTGTTGACTGGGTTGCTGGTGTTAAACCATTGTTACAATTAGTTGATTGAGAGGGTTGAGATGATGAAGACGTTGTTGATTGTTGATTAGTTGTTGTTGTTGATGATGATGAGGATTCGGTGTAAAAAATATTGTGATAAGCCGGAGGCGGTGTTCCGATTTCTTGATTAATCATCCTCATGGTTTCATTGTAACTTGGTGGTTTCTCTGCCGGTGTAAGGCTACTGAACAATTCATTTGGTGATCCACTGGTTCCAGGATAAATTGTGAACAAATCGTTGATTGTTGATCTATTGGCACCTTGATGATGAGACGAATCAGCTGGACAATATGATTTCCGTAAGATACAAGCCAAAAAGATCAACAAAATCAAAGCCAAACAACTTGAGGCAAAAATCATTGTTATTTTGTAGATTTCAATTGCTGTTGATAGGAATAAAAGAAGAGCACAAATAATAGCACAATTAATTAGTAAATTGTAAATTATTTTCATCATTCGTTGATTATTGTTGATCAATTTTCACCACTAGAAAAACCATCATCTTTAATTACAATTAAGTCCAGTCAAGGTCTCAATTATTAAGACTCTAATTGTATTTCTAGTTGTCTCTCTCCTCATGTTGACATTAGATTGTAATTGGTTTGATTGTGACTATTATGATGATGATGATGATTATTATTATTGCAAATATAATTAGTTACAATCAACTGATAAGATTTAATAATCAACTTGATTCTCAATTGCATCTACATTTGATTTGAATCATTTTTCAAATCAAATCAGCGTCAAGAAGTAAAACTTTTATCATTGATTAGATTTTATTAGTACAACTAACTACAATTTAATTGTTAGCAATTTATTTTATTACCAAAGACTATTAATAAAACAATAATATGATGATTGATATGAGTGAAATTTTGATTACTCGATAATTTAGTTAATCATCACAATCGATTGTCTATTTTTTTTCTGTTCATTACTTCACAATCAAACAATTTAAATAAAAGTTAATTGTTTCAACTTTTTTTTTTATGCTTTTTCATTTCTAACTGTTAACTAATCAACTTGATTAACCTTCATTCATTTATTATCACTGAATTGATTACAACTAAATTTATCTTAATTAACTTATTGTTAATGATTTTGATTCATGATTGACCAAACAATTGATTGTTATAATTTTTGATTAATAACAATTTAATTAATATAATATTAATCATAATAATTATATAATCTGATTCAAATCGTAACCATGTTAACCAATTTGATTTATTAATCACTAACCTTGTCAAAATAATTAATAGTAATAATAAATGATTATCCTTGAGTTGATTAACATGTATCTCTATTGATTAGTAAATTGCAACAATCAGGATTTACTAATTACTTAAAGTAATACCAGCTAATTAAACCTTAACTTTTCATGTTTAATTTAGTTGTTTTTGTTTGTTGATTACCAACAATTTATGATGATTTAGTTTTAATTACTGTTAACGAGTTGATTGAACCATCAATTGAAAGTCATTTACTTGATTGTGATTTAACAGTAATTAAAATTAATCCTCTATTATTAAGATATAATAGACAAGTGATTAATTAACAATTGCTCTGATCATTGATCCAATTGTTAATCAATAAAGTAACATTTTTGCTTAATCAATCTTAATCCTTGATCAAGGAATTGAAATTATCCATAACAATCAATTGATTGCTGATGATTGTTGAAACTGAAATGTCTACTGATTAGGTTGATGACATTGATTGAAAGTGAATAATTAAACTGGATTAACAAATTGCTTCATTATGATAATGAAAATGTCAAGTTCATATTAATAACAAATCAAAAATTGACAATTTAAATTGATTAACTTGATCAATTTTGATAAGTTTTTGCTTTCAAAGTGTTATTGTTGACCAAGAGTTAACTAATTGCTGATAAAATAGAGTAACAATTAACGTCACAATTTATTTTATTACAGTGTTTATGTAAACTAATCAGTCTGATAAGGAGTTTATTGAAGGTTTAATTGCGTTAATTGCGATCAAATCAAAAGAAACAATTGTGACTTTACTCGGAGATGTTGATGGTTAAAGTTAATTGTTGGTGAGATCGTAGCAATTAACTGATTGTTTTTGAATTCATTTCGTTTTTCAAATTGTGAAAATTTTCAATATTCATAATATCGTGATTGTTGAGAACGAACTTGACAATTAATCAACAAAATTTTAATCAAATTCATCAACACGATTTACCAAAAATCGTCAACAATTAAATCACTTCCCTGAAATCAGCTCACATTAAACCTAATAATCAATTAATTAAACTGTTGCGACTCCAATGATTGAATAGGAATCACCTTAACCTAACAATTAACCGATGAATTATTTTCAAGGATAAATTTATATAAAAGTAATTACATCACAATTAACTAATTGTTTCACTTGTTAGAAAATGAGAGGAAAAAATTAGAGTGAAGCGTAAAAAGAAAGAGTAACAATTAACTAACTATAAATAGATCACAATCAAATCGGACTAAATGATGATCGATTTTGATTATTAGATCATAATTTCAACAACGAGAACGTCCTTGTAATTAAATTGATCATCGAATCGTAATTGTTAAAGTTAAGCAATTAATGGAGAATCGTTGATTGTTACAAGCTGATCACGATCACAATTAAACTAAACATTTTAAATCAATTGGATAATCAAATTGCCCTTTTGGTGTGTTGATGTTTTCAACCACAATTAAACAATCAATAAACTCAATTTAATTAGATTATTGTTATATTAGTTTCCCGATTTAGTAGTAAAATGAATGATGATAATTGTGATTAGCAAACAATTAAATCTGAAAATAACTTTTACTTGTTTATATGAAATATGGTTTCATATCCAAAGTATCAAAGGTAATTAACAATGAATAATAGTAATTAATCAAGTAATCGATAATTAATAATCTTAATCATGATAGTTGATTGAAAAAAATGAATCAAATTAGTGATGAACTGATTGACCATAATGATGAAGAAAAAAATAAAATTGATTGATAAAAAAAGGGAAACAATTAAGTTTTTCGATCGATATTTGTTGATCAACTAATTGATTAACAACTAATCAACACTATCTACTAATTGTTAGTTAATTGTTGATGCTAAAACTTGGCTTAAGTTCAAGAATCAAATGTCAGGTGAATTAAATCACTGAAAGGAAGTGAATTATGATCATGATCAACGAATTGGTATCAAATTTTAACTGTTAATTGTCACAATGATCTTGTTGGGTATATTTATGTTTCTATAGTGAAAATTGATCGTTAATTGTTGTTAATTATTGTTAATTTACCTGTATTGTGAATCGGTGTACATTTGTTTCGGGAGAAATCAACAAAATAATCAATACAAACGCACATATTACGAAGGCAAGTTGATTGTGGGACAATACATTGATCAGATGAGATACAATCATCAGCAATGAAACCTAATTAATTAGAATGATAAGCAATTAATTGATTGTTGAAAGATCCTCATTAAGAGATGACTTACTTTTTTTCAAACATTTCTGTTCACTTTTAACAAATACTTCATCTTCATCACAACAATCAGGACACCAGCCATTGATTAACGGATAGTAATCAACATTAGATGATATTGATGAAGACAGTTCGATACTTAATTCAGTTGGATTAATTGCATTGTCAGATTTCTCTGAGCTAATTAACCAATTAATCTGAGGCCCATCATTATCAATACGTTCAATTGGCCCAATCGAACTGATTGTTTCAATAGTTGATCCTAAATCACTTCCATCGTCCAATTGCCTTAGGGGTTCAATCGTATGATGATTTCTCTTCCCTGTTGTTTCACAATTGATTAAATTGTTTACTGGTAAATTAAAAATCACGATAATGGAAGTGCAAATGGTTACAAAGGTTTTCGTCAACATTTTAACAACAGCAATTAGTTAATTGTGAAACAATTTAAATGAGAAATGAACCAAATACAAATGAAAACTCGAGACGAAATAAAAAACAACCAGTAACCAATGGAAATGGAAAAGAGCAGAAAAAAAGTAAACAAACAAAACCAGAAATTGAGAAAAAGTATCAACACAATTTGATTAACAATTAACTTGATGATTTAGTAAATTGGTAAATCAATAAACATGTTGATTGGTATTGGATGAGCTTATTAATTAAATAAACGATTCTTAATTGTTATCAGTAATCACAATCTAATTGAAGGTAAACAAAAATGTGACAAGTTAATTTTCAATATTAAAACAAAAGCAAATTTAAAATAAAATCAATAAATTGTTGACTTTTTTTTTAAAGACAAACTGATTGATTGTTATTAACACAGTTAATTGCTGATGGTAATGTTATAAATTAAACTAAAATCATCACCTTAATCAACCAGAAACCAATGTTAAATAATAATAACTGTTGAAACAATCAGTAAATCACTTTACACCGAATCAACAATTGAGATAACTACCATAGAGATGCTTATATTGATCACAATTAAAACCGCCCATTAATTAGTTAATTCAATTACAATTATGATTTTTGTTTCTCTTTCTCTTCTCACTAATTATCTTCTTAATTTATCTTCTTCTTCCCCTCTCATCGAGATGACGATAATCATAACAATTAATTTCTATCACAATTAACAGTAAATCGTGATAAATACTTAGAGTATTTCTATTAACTAATAACAATCAAAATCTCTGATTATGATTAGTACAATTAAATATTCATTGTGAATAATTAGTCTGGAAAAATCTACTCTCATTATTGATCATAATTGTTGCAGTTAATCATTTATTAGATGGAAATTTAATTTCAATCTTTTACTTTCTTATATCAGTTTTAACTTTTTAATTGTTAATTGTCTTTGGTTGATCAACCAGGAACAACAATTAATATCTGATATTATCTAATCCTATGATTAAGTCCATAAATTTTACACTGTTTAAGTAATTAACGTCATCAGTTAATTGTCAAGAGAAAATTTTATCAATGAAAGTTGTTATTATAATTCTGATTGTTATGATTAAGATTGATTAATGATTTAATCAGGTTTATCCATTGATACCTTTGATTATCAATTGTTTCTTGTAATCAAAGTTAAACCTTTGATTGTTTAAACATTCAAATGCTCTTGGACATGTAATTAACTTTGATTAACATGAGGATGTAGCATGATAATCATAATTATCATCACAATCTTTCAATTCACAAGTTTCTTGGTAACGTGATTAAGATTATAAAACAATTAACATTCAAATCTCATTGATTGTTGATTGTATTTCGTTTTTTTTTATCATCATTAACAATTAAAAGTTAATGAAAATCTTGATCAATTGTATCTGTTGATTAATTTTCACATTAATTTGATAAGATTGAAAATCTTTTCGATTGGTGAAAAATTTTCAATGTTAATTTTTCTCATGGTGAATTTGTTGTCACAATTAACAATTTAAAATCACCAAATGATCATTTTCCTTGACATGGAAAATTAAATTAGAGTAATGATTGATCATAATTTAATTCTAATCATGACAATGGATAGAGAGAAAGTGAGATGATGTTATTGTGTGTAAAACAATGGACATGTTTTGAGAATACATTTGGGAAGTTAAATGATTGATTGGTGTTCACAAATTAAGAAAATTTTGGTGATTGTGGTTATTTCCTTTTCCGATTGGATTCGATTTGTATATACAGAATATAGATTGTAATTTATATATATTTATAGTAATATAAACAGATAGAAATCAATTTAAAGAAATCTACTTTTTCTTAATCAGCGTTCTACCTTCACCTCCAAATGCTTCGAATGCTTTTTCAGCGAGATTTTCTTTGTCTTTTTTGTCACTTTCTTTACGAACATTTCTTTTGAATTTAAGTGTCCCCAATTGGAAATCATAATCAGGAATACCTCTCATAATTTGCGCTTTCGGTTTAACTTCGGTGGCTTGTGGGGAGGTTTTTTGTTTACCATCTAAACGATTTCCTTTACCAGAGAAAGCGATAAAAGCATCAATATATTTACCAGCCAATTCTTGGTCTTCTTGATGTTCAATCATTGCATTAATATCTTCAAGATCATTTTTCTCATTGGCCATTTCAGATGGATCTAAAATCGATAAAGAGAAAAGCACAGACACACACAAACATACAATTAATTTAGATAAACATGTTAATTGTTACAATTTAGAGAAATAAATTCTCACCTCTATAACCAACCGGAGGAGCAAATTCAACATTCATATCACATTCAATAATGGTAACCGCTGGTCCAGGCTTAGTCTCTAATACACATAATTCAAATACTTTATCATTATAAACGATTGCAATTACATCTCCTGAGGTCAAACAGGCAAAGTTACGAAGAGCATTTTCTAGAACTGCTTTGGGATTAGTTATATCAAGAAAATCAACCGATTGAGGTTGAAATTTAGAAAATGTTGCCACTGGTAAACTGGTTGATTCAACACGGATTAGTGATCCTTCATCCAATAAAAGATTTCTCATCATCCAATAAGGTAAATACACTTTACCTTCATCAGCAACAAATTCCAATACACCAGAATGAGTAACTCGATTGGTCGCTACATTGGTCAGTTTAAATAACATTGGATAGACAATATTTAACCGAGTTAAATGGTCCAAGGCTGAAGGAGGCATAATTATTTTTCCACCTCTTTCAACATCTTGTCTCTCACTTCCTGGTAACATGGAGACCGAGAAACACTTGTAAACGGTGCTAAAGGGACGAAGAGGCTCATTGAACATGTTTATGTTAAAATTAAACATCTTTAAACAATCACCAATTAATTTAATCCCAACAATCAAATGTAACAACACAAACAACAATAGATGACAAACAAAAACAATTCCCGAGTTTCGGTTATCCTAATCCGGCCAAAATTCTCTTATAACCAACACTAGATGGCGACACTAAATTCGAACAAAAAAAAATTCTATTCTCTTTTAATTCCAATCATATGTTTGATGTAAAAGAAATGTAAACAATAATATTAATTGTGATTCCATTATTGTTTCTAATTAATTTTAATTGTTGTTCTTATTTTTTAATTATGGTCTTCAAGATTCCATTTAAACTTGTTACTCTTATTTGTATATTCTCTCTGTCGATATTGTGGTTGTATTTCCTTTCCATTAATGTACCTGCTCTTAATCAAAGGTAAATTGATTTCATTTTAATTTCTTTCTTAATCTGATTCTTAATTTGATTATCCATTTTGTTTTTTTTTATTTCCTTGATTGTCATTGTCTTTACAATTGGACAATTTATATATGTGTATTTTTGTAAGTGCTAGAATGATTTCTGTATAAATAGATATGTGAATATCTTTTGGTTTGATTTGGTAATTTGATTAATTCTTATTTAGTTTGTCTCGTTGTCTTTGTTAATGTAATTTTAAGTGTGAATTGTTTTGACTTATACAATTAATGTTTTTCTCTTTTCTGTGTGTTTTGATTTGTCAAAATGAGTTGATTACTGTTGTCAAATTAAACTATTAATATGTGTCCTTGTCATGAATATAAGGATATGTTTTTCCAAGTAAAATTTATATTCAAGCTAATACAGTGTATGGATTTAGGGTTTGATTGATGTAAAACCTTTTTCCAACTCAGTTAACTTGAATGTATAACTTTAAAAATGATAATAGAAAGAGAAAAGAATGAGAAAAGAAAAAAAAATATCATCATCATCAAGAAGCTTCTTCAATTTGATTCAACTAATTGACTGTTTTATTTGTGTAACAAATCAACTCAATGGTATAAACAATGTGATGGTAAAAAAATATAACTGTTATTGACAATAAGTGATTCTCAATCCATCCCAACAAAATCAAAGATGAAACATATAATATATTATATAATAGTGTTAATGTGAACTAATTTTTTCTTTTCTTTTCTATTTTTATGTATCCAAACAGGGAAACAGATCAACATGAGATGCAATCGAATCATCTAAAATTTCCCAGCAATTTAGAGGAATTACAAAAGGTCTCCCAAATACTAGAAGAGTATTTCCAGGATAATAAATCCTATGTATTACTATTATTTTCATCTGCATACCTTTTCAAGCAAACCTTTGCTATTCCGGGTTCAGTTTTTATGGTAAGTTGTAAACTCTCAGAATAAAATGTTCAAGTAATATAATGATTCCCTTGGTTACATTTTAGCCTTCATTAGATGAGCATATTCATTTTTGTTTAATTTTACTATTACACCGAAACAAACTTATCACTAAAAGTAATCAACCAGTATCAATTACCTAATCTATGGTAATTAAATTTAACCATTTAAAACTATTCCCTTTCTATGTCACAGCTGATTCATGTAAATCCTCAATGAGTAAATCTGCTTAACATATGATAATAATACTAATTGCAGCCCAAACCTAACCAATTGATAATTTGATAACAATTTAAAATTTTCAATTGATTAACACGATTACCAATGAATATGGATTAAGAAATCAGATATCATCAGGTATCTGAATTTATTCTCTCTCTCTCTCTCTGAATTTTCAATCGATCATCCAAAACAATCTTATAACGATCACATTTTAATCGTTACTTTAATCGAAGTGATTAAAATATATACATAATGTATATATAAGACGAATCCTTTGTTAACATAATCAACTCTCTCATGATTATCTCTAAAAATTGAAACTTCTCTTTGTCATGAGTCTTATATTATCTTTCCCCCCTCATCATTTTGTCTGAAATTGAAACTGAATCAATAACTACAATAAAAGATTCAGAAAAAAAGAAAGGTACAAAAAAGGATATTTATGGTTAACTTGAAACTCTCAAGAGGATTTATCAAAAGATTAAGAAGTAAATAGTGAAAATAAAATGAAGAAAAATCAAAGTATATCCAATGTTAAACTTTTCTCTTGAACCATAAGAATTAGGATGAGAATGAATAGACTCAACGATAAAATATATATATTCATATGAAAAATTCTCAGTTGAATAATATTCTTCATGATATTTCTACATATTATTTCTACAATATCATTTGATACTCTCTCCGTGATATTACCTATTTTCTATCTTGAGATTCTCTATCATCCGTTTCTTTACTTTTTTCGTTCAAAATGGTGAATTCTTGTTCTTTTCTCAGATTGATAGATTCTGAAAGAACCTCAAGAATATTCACCAAAATAACAAGAATCCTGTTCTTGTTAACGATACAAATAACAAGAAATTTTCATTCCTCTTCTTTGTTGCTCTTCTTATCCATCATCATCATCATCATGGTGGAAAAAGTAACAGAACAATAAGAAGATGATAAAGAAAATATTGGAACCAATTCAGAGTTTCAATGGATATTTTTGGATTATTTTCTCTATCATGTTTATCTAAATCAGAACTTTTTCCTCTTCTCTCTCTTCTTACTCTCCATCAAATGTTGTCATGAAAGTAACATTGAGCATCACCCTGCACAACTGAATATCACAATATCACAATACTCAACATCTTTAATCAACAATTATGCTCATTGATTCAGCAAATTGTGATTAATTTTGTTGAATCAATGAAACTTTCATCATCTTTATTATTATCATTTTCCTAGATTCAGATAAAAGCAATCAACTCATTCACTTTTACCTTTCTATTAGAATTCAAATTCAATTTGTTGTCGATGATTGTTGTCAATAATAATCAATCAATTTAAATTCATGATTAATTAATTTGATTTTTCAATCAACAATAAGATAACAGTGTTAACTCAATTATCGTACTCACAATTAACTAATAGGAAGTTTTTTTTATTATTTCTATTAGGTAAACTGTGAGAAATATTAACTTACAATCCCAACTAAATTATTCTGATTTATTAATATTAATAGTTGAACATGTAATATATATGATATGATTATAACAATCAATTTTATCCCATGTTGATTTAATATTAAGCCAAATTATTTATAAATGTTGATACTTAATACTATTGATAAAATGTATTTAATGTACATTTTTATTTTTTGATTGACACTATTAGTTGATTGATTTGAAATTTCATTGATTGTTTATCAGATTATTTTAGTCTCTGGTTACGAGGTCAACATAACTACAAACAATTGCTGATTACAATTATTATCATGATTAATTTTGATTGAAATGGTGACGTTGAGAAAAATACTATTAATAGTTAATAATGTCTACAGAAAACAATAAACAAACACCATCAACAGCAATCAATGAACAATTTCAATCACAATTAGTTGTAATTTTTCTCTCTCTCTCTCTCTCTCTCTCGTTTAACTCAATTTTCACAGTCAAAGTAATTGAACATTTCGATAAACAATCAACCTTGATTGTGAATAATAATGAAACTTTATAATAAGTATTTAAACATTTGATCAGTTCAATAGTTGTACTGAGTAATCAGAAATCATGATTTCATCGGAAAATGAACTTTCAATCAATTTTCTCCTTCTTATTCTCTATGGAAACTTATTACCAATTCAATTGTGATTCCAATTGATTGTAACTTTCTAATAGTTGATTGTTGTTTCCTTTTCACAATCACGATCACTTTTTTTCTTCTTCTTTCTTTTAAATCATTAACCATTTATTTAAATCAAACAAACTACAATTTATCTTGATTTAGATTAACATTATCACCTATCAATATTATTTACTTTTGTAAATACTATTTCCAAATTAACCATTTTCACAGATAATCTGATTGTTATAATCTTTCATTGCTGTTAACACTAATCATGGTTACCAAAAGTCATGATAATGTTCAGGGTGAAAACATGATAATCTAAAAGGTATCTGAAACTACTCAGTCAATCATCTTGAAAATATATCCAATTATTTTGTTCCTGAATAAACAATTTGTTTATAACTTTTAGTACATGTAAACTTAAATTGTCCAACATTAAATAGACTCTGAAACTTTATCAAGTCAAGAATCATCATGAAAACCCTGAACCTAAATTTTAAAAGACTTTAAAAGTTTATCTTATTTATTCATTGATTGATTTACCCTTAATTTAGAAATGATAACCCATCGTATCTAATATTTAGATTAACTTGATTTCTTGCTTAGTAATTAGCTGATTGTTTAGATTGTTATTTATATTATATTCATTCATTTTATCGTAAAATCAAATATGATTGAGACTTTTACTTTCTATGGTGAATGAATTAAGATGTTGATATTTTTCTTATTGAATTTATATGTAAATTAAACAGATCAAACAAATCATAAGGTTACAATGAATATAAATTAGTTATCTACATGATAACCTGAATGAAATGTTAATTCTGATTGCTTGCTATTAATATGATAACACAATATCAATCAATCGTATGATTTACATGAAAAAAAATTCCAAGTTAATTGTTACTGTTAAATCAAAATATTTAACATGAAAATTTATATTCAAATCTTAGTCTTGATGGTTGATTTGTTTGTAAACAGGTTAACCAACTTGACTCTTTGTGTTGTTGTTACTTAATTTTATCGATATTGATTTTCTTTCAGAATCTATTATCTGGAGCACTATTTGGATTACAAGCAGGATTCACAGTCGCTTGCCTCCTAACAGCAATCGGTGCAACTTTTTGTTACCTGTTATCAAACTTTTGTGGTAAATCTTGGATATCAAGGCGATTTGCTGGACAATTAACTGTACTTAGACGAAAAGTGGACGAAAATCGGTCCACATTAATTTATTATCTACTATTTTTACGATTATTCCCAATGACACCAAACTGGTTCCTCAATATTGCATCACCAATAATCGGAATACCTTTGCATCTTTTTTTCATCTCCGTTTTCATTGGTAAGTAATTAAAACTTCACCTAATCTTTCCCGTCTCAAGACTATTGATTATTCACAGATTGATAATCCCTAATAACTTACATGTATATTAATAGTAATTTTAATTGTTTATCAAGAGAGATAGTTATCGATAATAATATCAGGTGATAATTTACAATCACAGGTAAAAAGTATAGTATCAATTGCATTTTATTATTTAATTGGTCCCAAAGTTGATTCAGTGACAAAACAAAAGTAACAAAACATTTTGGTAAAAAAAATCATTGAAATTTATATCTTTTGACCTACAAAAAAATGCGTAAAATTTTTCCTTCACATTTCAGTTGATATTTATTAATATTATTACAATGTCCATTCTGTTTGTGGACAGTAGCCATTTTTACACTTGAATAACCAATTATTGTATTACTTTTGTGGAAAACGAAAAGTTATTACAATGAAATAACTGAATCTCCATGCACATGGTTATCCAAAAGTAGAGATAAAGTTGAGTATATATATTGATCATCACATTTATCCTGAGTACAATATTTAAGAGCTTCTCCAGAGCTGAGCTCATGAAATTGAATCTAAATCCTTTATTTCATGTCTTGGAGCCGAGGGAGAGAAAAAAAAATGAAATTATCTGATAAAACTCTGAACTACTGAATCTGAACACAAGGATATATGAACATGTTGTATCTAATCATATGATACATATAAGATGTTGAATTGAATTCATTTTTTTTTGAAAACAATTCCCCTTGACATTTAACTTTGATTATGAGACAAATGTGTTATTATTTTTGTGTTTACACTTCACCAAATTGATTGTTTATCATACTTTTAATTGTCAATATCATTCTGTTAATTGGAAATGTTATCATCATCATTTTGTCACAAATTAAGCTTCATAAATCAATCAAAATCACTTTGACTTTCTACTCGGTTAGTTATATTATAATAGTTGATTGTTATTTACGATTCCCCATCAGAGTCATTAATTGTAATCTTAATTGTCCCGTTAATTTCATCATACTTTTCATGGTGTCCTGATAATATCAATCGTTAACAACTATTGTAACAATTTAGTAGGAAAAGTCAACTATTAATCCGATAATGATGATTAATTGTTAACATTAAACGATAATGATAATTTCATATGACTTTTATATATTTCCTAAATTCACTTATTAACAATTAATTAACTTAATTTAGTTAAATAATTGTTTGCCTTTTCCCCGGCATTTCAAATCATTGTAACTAATTTAAATTTTCTCATCTTCTTAATCTAATTGATTAATTGTTTTAACTGTTAATCTTGGTCAATGATAAATTACTTTAATACATAATTAATATTGAATATATTAACCAACTTCATTAATTGTTAATATTGTTTTTATATATGAGTACCTTGTGATGATTAATGATTTACCTGTTCAAGAGTTAATTAAAAATGACATTTAAACCTTATTAATGGTGATGATTGAAACTACAAGATGAATGACACAAAAAAAATTAACAATTATGATTAAAGATTAATTAGATTAGTTAGTAATCTCAATCAGATAAAATCATATAAAGTGATGAATTATCCAAGTAAATTGAATGATCTTAATTCTTGATTGTAATGTAAATCACTCGATAAATATTTAATCAAATTCAAATGAATGATTATTCAGTTCATCAAAATGATAAAATATTAGGCGTTTTCATAATTTTAAGGATATTTACCCTGAGATAATATCATGAGAACAATGAATTTTATAATCATCATCACATTTACGATTACAGAACGATAAGTTCTACAAGGTCATTGAGGTCATTCAAATGCTATATATATTAAGAGGTTATTCCAATAACCACAAGAGATGCAAATTCAAATGATGTAACTGATACGAAAATTGATTTCTCAAGAAAATGTTTCCTAATGATAACCATCAAGTTCAATCAATGAATTAACATGTTAATGTAGAAAATGAATACTACCGAGTCGATCACCTTATTTTGTTTTCTATTTGTCAACAACTGAATCCATTTAATCCATCAAATACTTAGAACTATTCTAACGATAATGATAGTTATCTTTCCTTGGTGTTAACGTAATTTCTCAATAACCTTTATCCATGGTAACTCACAGAAAACAATATCAACTTGCAAGAATTGTAACATTGATTATCTCTTTTTTTTTCGTAACCCGAACAGATAACATGACAGTTCTTGATAAAATCTTTCCGGAAAATTGTTCCTCCACTGAAACATGACAATTTTTTTTTCTTTCATAAGATTTTCAGCTGATGAAAATTTACAAATTTCTAACTTTTGATTATCTCTAAATAATCATCCATCACCAAACTGAATCAATTTGTCATCCATGTTAATTATTAACACAAATCAATTCAATTCAATAATATCGTTGTTTTAACCTCAATTTGATTTCTCAAATTCAATCTATTAATATTTGTATTAATAGATTGAATAACTGATGATTTAGTTTTGTTTAATTTAATCATGTTCATTTGATTGACCAGTAAAATTATTATTATTATAGATTGAACTTGATCTAATGTGTGATGACCATTGAAGTTGTGACGAGTGGGAATTTCAATAATCCACAGAACATATGAAATCCGAGAAAGATAGTCAAGGTTATCTTTTGAATTTAATAATAAGAATTGGTGTGTATCATATTGTCAAAATTTTGTCCAAGGATGAAGATGGATCGGTCAAGAGTGGAAAAAGATGAGAATGAAAAAGATAATGAAAGAAGAAGAAAAAAAAAATATCCCATAAGTGTGACCTTTTCCAGTCGATTCTTGAACTTATCAAAAGACTATTGTTGACATTTTGACGTTTCTCTGGATTTTATCAGTATATTAAATGGTCCCTTCTATTTGTTTATCATCAACTTGACCAACCTCAAGATATTAATTGACCAGAAATTTACTCGATGATAAGTTTTTACTAATTTTACACTCACTTTAATCAACCTGAATAGTTAAATATTATTTCATCACTTATAAGGTATGACCGGTAAAGAATGGAAGTAAACTTTGGAATCTAATAATTAATTAATGAAATTGGTTCTGAAAATGATTTTTTTCTGAAAGACTTATTGAGTTACTAGAAGTCGAGTATAAGGTAAAAAAGATCGATTTAAGCAAAAGCCCGTCGTCCAGATCACTTCGATCAAATTACGATCGAAAATTTCGAGTAATTTTTTTAAATTTAATTAAGCTAATTTGATAGTCCAGACTAATTTTTTTCTAGTAGAATCATAATCAGCACAATTTAAGCTTCACATTGATATGAAATTTTGACGTATTTAGATAACAATTAACTAATTAGGACAATTTTATTTAATTTAGATTGGTAAAATCGAGTATTTTTATTAAATTCGCGCGACAATTTAAACAGTATTATTAACTTTTTAACTATTTGAGATAATATGAAAATTTTTTTGGTATTATTCGATGTAGAGTAATAATTTATTGTGATTTTGAGAATAAAAATGTGAAAAAATTTCGCGGTTCCGACGAATTTGAGAAAAAATGACGCAATATCCGGTTCGAACTTTTTTCGAATTTTGGACTAATGAAAATAATTTTTTTCTTCTGAAAACACTCTGACATATTGAAACAACATTCATAAATATCTCTAAACTAGAATTTTCATCATTGACTCTGTTTTCTTGAAGAATTAGATTTTTACCTAACGTTACCTCTATAAAATTACACTATTTTCTTTTGGTACATATTCTAAAAATCTGATTTTTCATAACTTTACATGATCGAATTAGCTCGCAAAATATATTGAATTGAAGGTAAAAAACTGCTCATTAATAATATACTAATTTCGAGAAAATAAATTCAAACCCAGAATAACCATGAAAGTTTGAATATACTACTTCCATTCTTTACCGGTCATACCTTATTATATCATCAACCAAAAGAGTGATAATATTTTCTTGAGATAATATTTGAAAAATTTTCATTTACTTGATTAGATTGAAATTCTGTTGGTACTCATGATATATTTTTCTGAATAGATTCTGAACCAAATACATATATAGATTAAATTATATTATGGTCACTCCACGAATGACCAACGATTATCTTTATCAACTCTATTTGTGTGATGAAACTTGTTAATCAAGATTAGCTAACTCATTCTTAAGACTCTATTACCTTTGCTCATTTTATTCCTATGCTGTTTTCTGTTATTAGAACTCTCATCATCATCACCATGATCCTACGATAGAATGAGAAACGAAAAATTTTCAGGATTATAACTGATTCCCATTAACAGAATGAAATTTACTCAAGTAATTAGTAAATGAATCGACTACGCAGATACATTGAGTTGCTGGCCTTTAATAAACCAACATTTACTTTCGATAAAAGTTCTGATCACATTTGCTAAATCATCGACTATTAGGTTCCAACAGATCAACTATTGACTTTTCATATTAATATTATTATTTTCTTTCAATATTATTAGCTATATTGATTTGAAAGAATATAATTTTTCGCTTTCCATGTTGATGAAAAACCAGAGTAAAAAGTTTCCCAGAACTTTTGATTACTCGTAATAAAAGTTTCATATCAACTACCATGATTATGATGGAATTGGTGTAACGTGACAATCATGATGGAAAGGAAAAGATTATATCATTAAAAGATGAGATCTTATTGAAACAATCAAACAAATTATCATGTTAACCGTTGATTCTGTTGATTTTTATCATTAAGTTAATTATCTGATGATAACTTTCAGCATCAATTGTTAATAGATAATTAATTCACTTAATTGTTAGAACCTTATGTAGTAAATTTATTACTGTTATTAATTTTTCTTTAATAATTGTTTTCATCAATGAAAATCTTACCTCTCTCTCTCTCTAGATGGAAATTCCCTAAGAGATCATGAATCTCAATTGGAAAATTCATTTTGAATAAGAAACAAACAGAGACTGAAAATGTTACGAAAACTGTAAATAAAATATAATCTGTTACTCAGTT